TGTGATATACTAAGAATTTATCATACACATAAAAATGGGAAATGCCATTAGATTTCCACACATTTGAATAAAAAGCAGCCTGTTAAATATGCAAGATTGGGGGCACCCCTTGAGGGCCAAAAGGTTTTATGGCGCTGACCATAAAGCACAACGCCATCGATCTTCCTCCCTTCATTTTCTGTTATCCCTCTTACGTCCACTCTCTAATAAAAGTGCCAAATAAATAAGAAAACATATTACACAAAATTAAAGACAATATTTGAGTGGCAGATGGACCTTCTGTACGTGCAGCTCAGCAGTGAAAAAAGATAATATCCCAACGGGAAGCCTCCGATTTCTTATTGAGTCACAGCCAGTATGTCCAGCTGCCAGGTCCTTTCAGGACTAAGCCGAGGTCCTATCAGCCAAACAAGCTGTGCCACATAAAAGCCATTATCAAAACATCATCAAATGCCCATTATTTTCAATTGGATGTTGGCAAGAAATAGTACTTCATCGCAAGTAAATACACTCAACGGTACCATTTCCCTTCACCCAGTCCAGTAATTCAACCCAATTATTTTTAGAAGGGAATAAAAAGCCTGCGTTATTTTTGAAACACATTTCATAATACATAAACCTTTTTTTTTCAACAAAATTGATATACTTAAAACTCAAAACAAAAATAGGGGTTTTAAAACTACTGATTATTGACAGTTACAGGTTTTTAAAAAAAAATAGTATTTGATACATTTTGGATTAACATTGAACTTAATTTACTTCCAAACTAATAGAGACATGAATAACAGGATGGACACTTGATTCGGTGTATACTACATTAGGTGACCTGAGTCGTGAAGAGGACTTATCACGACTGGGAAAGATAGTTTACTTTATGAACTTATTTTATTTTGGGTTGCATTAAGCCTGTTCAGATATGGCTGTTTATTAAAAAGGAAGTCATGGTTATTTTTATAATTTTTTCAAATGAATGTCCGACGTGTGAAAGTATTTGTCTGGCACTACCTTCTAATACAACTCTATAACTTATCAAAACAGTTAGAAAAATAATAATAATAATGGAGTTGATTTCAAGGATGAGAGAGAGGCTGCACAGGATGATGTCATGTATTTGCCACTAATTAACACGTTGACATGGTGTGTGCGTTTGTGTGTCTCTATAGCCAAATCTAATCAGCTTCGGTGATGAGCAACTCCTGCAACCTTGCTTTGCCACTTTGCTTAACGGACGCAGCCAATTTGGTGTAAAAAGGAGGGGGAAATTAGGAGATAGGTTCAAATTACCCCCGTTATAGAAGCAGGGAAGTGAAATGGGTTTTGACTCCAAACATGGGCACTAAGCCAAGTCTCGTGGTTCTGCTGCTTTGTTTTCTGTTGGTGTACAGACTGCAGAAATGATGTGTGACCCACAGTTACCTCTGGCACTTAACCACTGCATTTCTTTTTTATTAAGAGAGCTGACAGACACTTTTTGGAGTAAAAAAAAGTCCCAGGCAGTCCCTTATTTGAGTGAGATTTTTAGGCATAACAAAGTGAAATTATATTTTTGTTTTACCTCTCAAATGCTACTTTAGATCAATCCTCCACATTTGTTTATAAAAAATAAATCAGTCACAACAACAGCAGACCTGAGACATGAAGAGAATAGATATGACTAAAGCAGGGGTCTCCAACCTTTTTTAGGATGAGAGCTACTTTCAAAAAATAAAACAAGTCGTGAGCTACTTTTACTCCTCTTTTTTTTGTTTTTTGCAGTGTACAAATTTAGCACATTTTAACATTATTATATGCTTACCTTTAACCTTTGTGTGCTGTTTGGGTCTGTGGGACCCGTTTTCAGTGTTTACTAAAAAATGTATGCAATTTAATTATTTTAACCTGCTTTATTTGGGGGTGGACCTAACCTCCTTTAGGGGGGTCGGGGGCATGCATCCCTGGGAAGATTTATTTTTAAATGTTGAAGTGAAATGCATCAATCTGGTGCACTTTGAGCACAAAATGAATTTATGGACTAACTTACCTAGTTAGCATTCTTTCTTTTTATTTAAGCATATTTGACTAATCAATTACTGTCCTATAGTACACATTGGAATGATTTCTTACTTTATTTTTTACAACTATATTAAATAGATAAAGGTGTGCTCTCTCACTCTCTCTCTCTGTCTGTCTGTCTGTCTGTCTCGCTCGCTCACAGAGGCTGTGTGCTGCTCCGTGGCGATGACGGCTTGCGTTGAAAAATAAACATTTATAAAGTGGGGGGACACAAACGGGAATTCGAAAAGTGGGGGGGGACATGTCCCCCCTGTCCCCAGTGGAAATTACGCCATGCAAGTTGCAACACACACAGAGTAAAGCTCTGCCCCTCATGTGCAGTATAGGCTGGCACGACTAGGCTGTTCAATGGGGCTGATGTGTTGATTCTGCCAGAAGGAAAATCACAGTCAAACTCCTTATGAAGCGGTGAGGTGCCGCTCCACATTGCTTTTCTTCCCGACTGCAACGCTGGTCCCGCAAATCAAGCAAGAACGTGACTGTTGAACCTGGACTAAAGCAACACATTTGGGAATAGTAGCTTACTTTATAAACTACAGCAGGTCTATAAAAAGCAGTAACAACTGGCACATCTGAAGCCAACAAGGAATGCCTTGCTCTCTGTCCTGTGGTTCTGGGGCTTAACAGATCTTTTCATGCTTTAGTGAAAGTAGGCAAAAAACCGCAAGTCACAGACCACAAGACCACAGGCCCTGCCCGTGCCGAATGCAGGCCAATGACTGGAGATCAGAGCTTGCCGGTCAACCTTTGAGCTTGATTAATCTTCAGAGAATGGCACAAAATAAGGAAATCATCTCTGCTGTGAGGAATACAACACTTCCTCAACTATAATGTGGCATGTTTCAAAGATTTGTGTTGAGCAATCACCTCAAGTCATTGGACAATCTATAAATAAAACACTAGTGAAAAGGGTACTGAAGAGCATAATGATGGTCAGCTCAACATGTAGCTGCCTCACAAAACAAACATTACTAAGAGTTTTAAAAAGGCAGACGTGCAGGGAAACTTGTTCAAAAGAGCCGTTAAACTAATGCGTGCAGTGTTGCGTAATGGTGCGAGCCAAGGTGTTCAGACATCACCCATGCGCAAAATTCTTCTCAGCACTCGAACTTGAACTCTTTGGCAGTGTGAAATGGGTGGGCTTGTCATTTTACAGTAAAAACCAGAACACAGAGGGAAAGGCCCGTCTCGCAGGAGCTTTGCTTAAATGAGACAATGTGAAATGTGCCATGACGTTAAATGTCTTCTTTACCTCGTCCACTACATGAGCAATAACAAAACTACAGTCTATGTCTAAGTGTTGCGTCACATTAGAGTACAGTTCAAGCTGCATTGACACAGAACTTGGCCTACTTAACTAAACTTGAGCACATGACACTGCTCTGACATTTCAACACTAAAAACGGACACAACCAACTTTTGGCAAAACAACTTTAGGCTACAAGCAGTCGTTGATTCTAACGCGAACAAGAAAATATTTTTTTTTCAAACACCAACCATCATGTGCTTTAATTTGGTCCAAATGGAGAGTTGAATTCAGTAAATGCTAGACCGGTTGGACGTGTGAGGGAAATAATGATGTGTTGACGGAAAGTAGCTGAGGAAATAATACACAAGCTACTACTGGTCACTGGAAAAATGTAACAGTCGGGAAATTATGAAAAATGTATCTAATAATAAGCACTTGATATGGTTTCTCATCTACAAAAGGGGAAGTACAAAGGTTTATGATGTAGGGCTGGACAATATGCATCATGATAGACCCGAACGCTTCAACTCGTGTCCCATTTACTACAGATTCTGCATTCATATATATAAATCTGTTTAATGAGAATAATTATTTGAAACAAAAAGCAGCAAATGCTCACAGTTAACACTGAGGTTGAAGGTTAGACCTACAAATGTTTTTAATTTAAAAACAAATAAATTATGAGAAGTGTAAAGGCCCGGACCCACCAATCTGACAACAAAGAACTGACAGACGGACCCCGACAGTTGCGTCGCCTCGCGTCTTGGCCATGTTTCGTACTGGAACACACCGCAAAGACTTCAGCCGACGGCCAAGTTGCACGTACGAACTGCGCATTCGTGAGAGGCAATAACTCTCCTTACCAGCAGGCGGCGGTAAGTAAATCGTCTAACCAGCACGGGCCGCCGGTTAAGTAGCCAATATACTATTGTGCCAAAAAGAGGCAACAACCCGAAGACAGACTGCGTGATAACCGAGAGAAGAAGAACAGACTGCGTGATATAAACAAACAACAAATAGCGTGTGCGTTCCATTGTCACTCTACAGCGAGAAGCTCATGGGGCTTTCCCGAACCTGTGTCGAGAGCTGGAGTTAAATGAAAGCTCAGATTTGCCTTCTTAATAGTTTCTTTGGGTCCCTCACTTCCGTTTCGTTTCTCATGCACTGATTCGCTAGCTGAACAGCCAATCAGATTGATCTATTTTGCATTTGGCAGTCGGCCAAAGGCAGTGGTTTTCGGCCGAAAAGGCGTCGGTCCGGCTGAAAAGACCCGATGGTGCGGGACACACCAATCTGAGTAGGGCGTGTCGACGCTCATCGTCAGCCTGACACCCACCGACGCCGATAATCGGCCTGGTGTGTCCGTACCTTTAGTGTAAGCAATTAATCATTCAAGCACTAGGTTGTATTTAGCCCGCAGTCACCGGTGGCCAGAAATAACACTGCAGCCACACCAGATTAAAATGAGAGTCCTATTTATATAGCATTTAAATCCCTGCCAGAGAGTGTCTTGATAATTTGTTCCCATTCGGTTCATTTCAAACTCTATGATTGTCAAGTGTATGAAATGTTTAGTGTCCAAGGACGTGATATGTTGTATTATGGTTATGGATCAGAGCTAGGCAGTACTCCAGCGCTGTTATAAAGAATCAGAGGTACAAACTATATAACTTGTGAGTTATAAAAAAAGACTGCTTACTTCTTTGACAGTTGTTCTGGGTCCAGCAGCGTTCACTGAAGTGTCCGTTGATGGTGGTGGTCTGGCAGGTGGTCTTTCCGATGGCCGCCCCCGGGCAAACGTCTCCGCACTCTCTGTCGTTCTTGTTAGCCATGATGTAGTTGTCCTCCACCGTGTCCAGGATCTTGGACCAGTCCAGAGTGGAGAGGTAGCAGAGATCCGGGTTCTTCTCAATCCTCACTGCTCCACGGGTGATGTTCATCAAGCTATGGAGGCCGATCTCTCGCAGCTGGAGCATCTCGAACATCACCAGGGCATAGTTGAAGAACAAGTTGTTGCCTCTAATGACCGTAAGGTTGGGGAAGAGATCGCTGAGGGTCTCCATGCCGTAAACTCTGAAGAGCAACAGGTAGTCGGTGACCACCGTCAGTTTGGGGAAACTGATGCCCCGGAAATCCTCAGGCTTGGTCCTGAACATGAGTAAGATCTTCAGGTGGCCTTCGATCACAGTGCAGTTCTCTAGAGTTCGTAGGTTGGTCACATTGTTGCGGATGTCCTTGCTCGGACAAACTGAAAAGATATAAAAGGAAATACAAAGGTTCTTTAGAAACTAGAGGACCAACCTTCATTGATGACTCACAAAACAAACAAACACCATTCTGTGGAAAGGATAAGATGCACACGTTACATTTTATGAGTAACTAAACATTATTTTATTATGAAAAGGAAATGTTATGGCTTTTGGACATCAACATTAAAAAGGATTTCCCTAATAATATTTATGCTGTGCTGAACGTGACTGATGCATTAGGCAAGATGTCTGCTCTGTAAACTGGAAAAAGGAGGTCAAAGAAGTCAGACACGGTCTCAAGGACTAAAGAAAAAAATAGATTTCTTGTTAATTAGAGGGGATATTTTACTGAAAAATATGTGGTGATGTCTCTGGCTTTGATAAAGACCAGACCATCTTTGCTGACATTTTGTTTAGCAACCACATATCTGGCTGTGAGCCACTGTCAAATATGGAGTGCTGTCATAAGAGCAAGTCTGTGCTCATCCTTGGTAATGCCGAGTTGATTTGTGGAGTTGCTTCTGTAACTCAAGACCATAAAAAACCCTAGCTAATGCATTAAAAATATTTGTCTGGGTGGGAGGGGGAACTGAAGCACTAATGGTCACGTATTGCACCAGTAGAAGATTTGTGGCTTTGTCAGTCTTCACCCAGACACATGATCCTGTTTCACGAGACATTCCTTAACTATGCTAGAGATGGGTTACATATTTACCGTCTCAAATCATTTTCAATTCTACTGTATCACAATGATACAAGAGTTTAATGTAGGGTCGCATATAGCCATTATAAATCGTCTCTTAATTTTTCCAATGAATCACTTAGTTTATTGCATATTTACACTATATCACGTGTCAGGTATCTGACTGTTTTCTTAGTTAATTGTGAATAATAGTGTATGGCTCTCTACTATGAGTTACTACTGTAAGTAATGACTGTAAATATTGGTCATTAATTAACACCATTGACAACTATTTGTATTGTTTATTTATGTTTTGATGAGTAAGGGGTGCGCATTCTTTTCAGTCCATGTGGATTTGTGTTTTAAACCAATTTAGCTCATTGTTTTTAGCTCTGGAAGAATGTTAACTGTACTAAAACTTCAGTGTACAGTGCTTTTGAAACCTACTGGAAAATACATTAAACCATATTACACTCAGGGGGCTCTGTATGAGCAGAACTAACAGTAATGAGGATATCCTTAGCTCTCTGTTCTGCAAATGAGCCAAACTCGTAAGCATATGCTTTGTGTGACATAACACAAATTATGACGCTCATAAAGATGTTTTCATTTTCGGCTGAGATGTGGGACATTCCAGGCCCAATTATACAGTTCACAAGTCATGGCTGCAGCTGGAGGTGTGCTGCCTGGAGAGCGGACTGTATTTGTTTACCAACCATGCATCGGGCCAACTGGTCAACCATGAGGGGGGAAGAGGTAAAACAGCTAGGCGTACAACTCTTTATGGTAGGGGCTCCTTTTACACCTTCTGCTGCATAACACTACCAGACAACCGTCACACACACTGAGTGTCCAATCACTTGGTGTCCAAACAACAAGCTTTTCACTGCATGACCTTAACCAGCAGACTCACCCCGCAGAAGTTATCTGAAGTTCAGCCTACAACTTTGACACTTGTTTAAAATACACACAAAATGTCCTAACATGGGTTTAAACTGCAAGCTATTAAAAGCAGCCTGGCTTGATAAAAAGTACATGTCATACATTTAGATCTGCAGCTCCCTTTGTGGTTGTGTCCGAGGAGTAACAGCCGAATTGTAAGCATGACGTGGCGTGGCACAAAACCTTATCTGCCTCCAAATTAAACACTGCTAATCAAAATGACGGCAACTGCTGGAGGAATTTGCAGCAAATGCCTCCTGTAGATCCATTGACGCTACAAAGGGCCTCTATCTTTTCATAAAAGACCCCACACGCTCTCAAACAAAACAATTTAATAGACAAAGACCCTAGCAGTGTACTAGGGGACAGTGTGGTCTCCAGCAGAGCATTGGGTGACCCTGTGAAGAAGGCAAATCATCACAGGGCGGCGAGTCCAGGCTCCTATCAGTGTACACTTTCAGCCAGGCCAGTATTTTTAGCAGCGCATTCCCAATAGAGAATCTAATACACTCCGGCCGTACTGATAGTGGCTCACATTGGAAACTAGAACATGGCAGCCTTGGTGTGTAAGTGAGGAATTTTAGAGCGGCGGCAGAGAAAACATTGGCCGAGCCGACTTATCCATGTGTGAACACTTAGTTTAGAAACAAAACTTTGGCAGAAATTGTAACTTCTATAAAAAAAAACAGCACTGTTTTTGTCACTCTGGTCTTGAGAACAAACAATTCTGTCCTTGAAGACTTCACACAGCTCCAGCTAAACGAACCAGGTGCATCCCAGAATTGAAATGCTGCCTCTATTGTTGAGAAAGAGAACAAACTGGGAGACATCACGAAGGTTACTATGGCGATTCGGCCAGCTCCTGCTTTCCATACATCACCTAATCTGAGCCAGACAAGACGGAAAACACAGCCCGGGTGCTGCGAATCGACAATTAGAGTCATTAGTGGAGCAGATCTTTAATGGCCCAAGTCTCTCCGTGCCTGCAGCTCTGAGGCAGATGAACTTTTAAGGTTAATTAAAAAGGACCAGAAGGATGGTTTCCCATCATTTGGTCAAGAAAACGATCAAAACAAAACATTTATCCCACTAACAAGACAGGCGAAGCTGATTTGTGGCACTTTTCGAACACAGATATAATCAAAGTGCCCTCAGTCAGGCATGGAAATGCATTAAAATGGCATTTAAAGAGAAAATGAAGAAAATAGATTCAATTGACGCAAAAGCACCAAACTTTATTCTTATCCTTGGAAATTGAAAATTCTCAACTAGAGGTCCACAGAAAAGTTTTTCTCCTGGTTTCTGCTTATGAAATGAGAGGATTTGACTGACAGGAAACATAAACTGAATATGTTTAGGTTTTAGACAAGAGAAAGTTGTGGAGGATATTTTTCAATATTTGCGATGGATTAATAAATCAGGCAAGTAAGTGATTGTTAGTTAAACCACTACACAATATTGCAATATATAAGTGCATGCAATCGGATTTGTACAGATCCACTGAAGCTGGCCCAGTACACACAGGCAGCACACCACAGTGAGAGTCAGCCAGGCATAACATTAAATCCAGAGAGCTTAATCAAATTAAGTGAAAAGATGCGCCCACAACAAGAAAATGTCAATTTCTTCACATCTGACTTCTGTGAGCCTACTTTTGCAATTTCCCACATGTCACAATTCTGTTCATAATGCAGACAAGTTGTAAGCAAGAAGAGTATAAATGCAATGCCATTGTAATAAATCAAGATAGATACCACTGTGAATGCCTGATGTAAAGCAAGCCCTAATTTTATATCATCATGCACAGAGATACATCACTGACGCAGGAGCACAAATACTGTACATATCTATGCTAAAGGATGTCAGCTCTTCACAGTCTGAGCACAATCCTTTCAATGCAGCTGCATGCATCAACAGGCACTAAAGTTTCTGATCTTTAAAAGGAGGTGGATGAAGGGGTGGGGGGGTTTACAGGCAGCGGTTCCGCCAGGGGGCGGGTCCTGCTGTCATTTGAAGCCCTTATCGAGAGTTTTTATCGCTTGAAATGACGAAAAGGAAAAAGGACAAGGACAAGGACATCCCTCTGGCAAAGGAGTCTGGTGGGATTATTTTAGCCGCCAGCAAAGCGTGTTCCTGTGACGGAAAGTGTACTGCCGGCGAGCCTTGACGGGGGGTACTAGTGAAGCACTCGCATGAACTGCGAGCGCCGGAGCCTCGCAGCAGTGAAACTGAGGCTCTGGTAAACTGTTTAGGAGCCGAAAGAGCCGGCTCTTCTTAGTGAGCCGAACCAAATGATCCGGCTAACTAAAAAGAGCCGGGATTCCCATCACTAATACGTAAAGAGATAGTATCAATAAGGGACGGCTCAATTCAAAATTCAAGTCACGTGACACGACATGTCTCCGCACACACACACACACACACACACACACACACACACACACACACACACACACACACACACACACACACACACACACACACACACACACACACACACACACACACACACACACACACACACACCACCCTCTCAGCCCTGGTCTGGTGGAAACACTGCTTACAGGTAGTTAGACTGATGGCGTGTATTATTGCCAGGCCTCAGAGAAAACCGAGGCCTTAATGAGCATGCAGGGACAAACACTCGCTGATTGCAAAACTTCCCTTTTCAAGGTTTAGCTGCTCTGTTGTTTTCTAACCCAGACTAAAAGTAACCCCGAATCCACAAAATGCCGAGGTCACCGAGATACACGTTCACCTTTACTAATCTGACGTATTGGTAAAGGTCCATACGTATGTATGGATGTAATCCACTTTAAGAACGGCTGTAAAACATCACCACCTCTTAGTTGTAAAAGGTACACTGTAAACACAGAAAACATATAATTCAATCTATTACTAACTATGGTTCTTAAAGTGGACCTATTATGCTATATTGGAAACATATATTGTAGGGCCATACCTATACAAAACATGTCTGTGAAGTTTTTTGCTTAAAATACCAAACAGATCACCCATTGTAGCCATGCCTCATACTGCTCATACCCCTCTTTTGCAGCCTTGTTGCAAACAGGCTGATTCTGTTTTAAAAATTGAACGTCTGCTGCTAGCCACGCCCCTTTGTAGCGTCACGCAGCTTTCCCCTGCTACTGCTAGAGAGAGATTTCTACCGGGAGAAGCTCAGCTAAACGCTGCGGTGATTAAATGCCATGTTATGCTCCTAACCACTTCAAGCTTTATTTCTGAAACAGTATGGAGCTCAAACCTTTCTCTCTCGCAGGGTCTACCACAAGGACATTACGTTACACATATTCTCTCCAGTAGCCTACAGCGTTAGCTTAGCTCCATGGTTAGCTCTGAGTGTTAGCATGCTTGCTAATGTAAACACAAAGCATATTACTACCAAAACACACCGTGCATTGTTTCTGATACAGCACATAGCTTGACATGTTCTTTCTTAAGTGTTTACCGCTAGAACAGTGCCATTATATGTATTATATATAACAACTTTACTCTAAGTGCCTCCTGCAGACATCCTGCTGAATACACAGACACACAGCTGCAACTGTATACGGAGACGGTAGGTTGGTGTCACGTGTGCCGGAGAATATAGGTTAGGACGTGTCACGTCGTCCGCATTTCGCCAATGACGTTATAGGAGCGAAAATTCTGGATCTGCTCGTTAGCACTACCCTTTTTTTATTCTTTTTTTAGAGATGTGGGTACAGAGGAAAAGAGAGAGGGTTTTGTTTTCTGACGCTTTGTGAGTTTCCTGACATACACACATTTATGTATAAAAGACATCAAAAGTACATTTTGCATAACAGGTCCCCTGTAAAGTAAAATCATAGGCAAAGAACATTAAACTCTGACAACCGTTTCAGCTCGAGAATATGTTTGACGAGTCGACAGTCCATTTAACTTTTACTTCAAAAAGGCTCTCAGCTGCAATTATGGTTAATTAGGAGAGGTTTCTCCTGGCTTCAGCTGCACAGGATAAGATATATTACAGCAGTTAAGACAATGGTATTAATATAACTCACAGAGACACAACCTTCTAGGTTAGGGCTGCAACTAGGCCGTTCACTATAATTAATTTAGTTGGACGATACATTTTCCTGGAAATTATTGCGATAAATATTTTCTCTATATTATTCATTTGGCTGCTACGCTGTTTCACGCGGAGTTTCCTGACCATAGACTGTATATATAAATATGACCTGGCTGTGTGTGAGCCCCGCCCCTCACAGCACACCTGGCTAAAATGCTGGTCACATCCTTATGTAAACAAACACACATTTAAAGGGCAATTTATCGAGGTCAGAAAAGTTATCGAGTTCATTTTTATTTATCGTACGATAAGTCAATTAATTGCTTATCGCGACAGGCCTAGCTGCAACTAACAATTACATTTCATTATTATATATTTACTAAATCATTTGAAGATCGTTTGGTTTAGAACATTTTGAAAAGGTTTCCAGTTTCTCAAAGTCGAATTTAATGTGTTTTATTGCTATGTTTTGTCAGTCAAAAACATAAAATATTGCATTTAACATGATGATGAAAACAGAGAATAAGCAGGAAATCTCAATTTTTTTAGAAGCTTTTGAATGAAAAACTAAGATAAATCTAATATCAAAATGGTTGCAGGTTACTTTTCTGTCGATTAAAATAAAGGTCCATTGAATAATCATTGCAGCTCTATTCTTGGTAAATGTCTCAAGAGTACAGGCTCGCCTATAAATGTCTTTAGAGCGGGTTATCAAATGAGCCAGCTGTTAGGTAGGGGTGACATAGCAAGTGCTGCCCAATGACAATGCATTACATTAGAGGGAATACAATTAAATAAAAGTGATTCAGGCTTTTAGAGAAAGCCTATTAAAACCACAAAGTTCCCTCGTGAGGCATTTGAAGAGGATCCTGTATGGATGGCTCCGGACCAAAGATCGGTTGGTGATCGCCCGCCAGCTGCACTCAGATACACATTATTCTTCTCACCAATTTTGGCAGTTAGGTAATTATTACCTCTGAAGTGTGAGAGCACAACAAGCACATTTACTGTTAACGGTGTCAAGGGTAAAGATGTGACACAACAAGGCTTCCTTGACAGACGCCTGTGTGGTCGGAGTGAAGGAGTGCCAGTTTACTCCATTTTCAAAGCATATCATTTTCAAACATGAACTTGTCAACTGGGATGAAACAGTGTAAAGATGATTCCATTGTATACATGTCAAGCGTGCTCGTGACTTCTTCAAAACAGCAGTGGCAGTTTATTTGTAGTGTTTTTGGAGAAGTGCTGGTGGTGGAGGGGAGGTGACAGTTTCATCACTTTACAAATGCCCTCCTTGTTGGGAGGCCTAAGTCAGGAGTACCAGGACTCTGGATTGCTGCCTGCCTTCGAGACCTGCTGTGACCGGAGTGGATCTCAACAACAGGCTGCAGGGGCTTCATCGGGTCCCCCTGCCGTTTGACATTCTTGATAAAGTGATGCTTTATAACGGCACAACAATACGCTGCAATCTGACAATCTGACCACCTGAGACCTCCACACAAAACCTGAGTTGAAACGAGCTGATGGAAAACACTGTTTGAGCCTCTTTTGTATCGTGTTGTACCACCTGTCTCTATTCTCTTTATAATTTGCCTACTATTGATACGACAATCTCAAAATGCAATTATATATCAAATGGTCCTCGACCCAACAATATACTGGATCTATGATCTTATTTGGCTTAATAGAAATGTTTTTATGATAGAAAAACCTTCAGACAAATAGCCTGAGATAAAGTTGTCTTTTACATTTAGTTTCACGATGTACAAATGGAGCCCGAACATGTAATTCCAAGGTGAGACATGTGTAAGAAGATGGTGACACAACTTGAGAAACAGGTTAAAAATGTGATTGTACAGCTGACGGCAGAATATCTTTTGGTCGTGATTGCTAAGATGTAATCTTTAGAGATCCCTTTAGAAGATCAGTAACTGTAAACGTAAGCAAGATCACTTGTTTATATGTATCTTTGTGAAAAACAGATGGTTGGCTCTGTGACTTGAATTTAATGTTATAATAAGAGGCCCAAGCTGGAGCTATCTGAAATATAATATGTAAAAAATATATATTTGCAGTTACAATTGAGCGTTTTAGCAGCCATCTGATTATAAATAAACGAAATGAATATCAGGCTGCCACTAAATATAAGCTCCTATTATTAAGTGAATGTTTCCATCAAGGTTTCCTGACTTGGACACTGGTCAGTCCAGCTTATAAAATAGACCGGTGTGAGGCCCAGGTTCTCTCCCCTTCTGCGGTTCTCTCTCCAGTCTGAGAGGAGCTCGAGGGGGGTGGAAGGGGCTGAAGTGCACAATTACACAACTTGCTTTTGATTTATGTCTTAAAATTCTTGCTCAAACTGGTTTGATGACATCGCTCTATTCGCCCCTCACTAAAATCCGATGAAAGGTGAGAGAGCTTGTGCTTTGCTTTTCCTTCAGAGCGCCTCTTAAATCCGACCACAGCCACACGCAGCACTGCAGCAGTCGGGGAGATTTAGAGCTACCTGGGGCTACATGCTGTGTTTACATAAAGTGGACAAACTTATTATACCGTACAAAAGAGGATTATGTGTTGCTTGAGTCAACGTTATTGTAAGACAGCACAAACCTGGGAGCAATGTTTTCGCAAGGAGCAGAAAAAAAGGGTGAAAACACAAGAGCATTTAGGGAGTATTGACTGAGTCATAATCCTAATAAAAGCATCTTTAAATGCCTTTAGTTTTGCATTTGTGCACCAAAACGAAAGATGATGTTGTATTTTGACATGCATTCTCTGTTGTATGTACAGATTTGAACGAAATAAATGAGCAACAATTATAGAAATCATTATTTTGTAAACAAGTCATCACACCAGAGTTTTTAATTGATAGCTATATACATTTGAATTGCTTATTGTGGAGTTTTTAAGCTTTATTACAATTTTAAATGTTAAATGCCTGCCTTGTATCTTAACAACACTTTGTGAGTCCATTTCCCAACTCAAGACAAGGTTATAACACATGGACTGAACACACAGGCCACGTTTCTTTAAATATGCAAATCCATGAGTTAAAAAGAACAGCTATTTCACATGAAGAGCTGTTAACTTGGAAAAGGATTATCTAACTTATAAAGCACCACTAACATCCACTGAATCATCTGATTAGATCAAAATGGTAACATCTTCTAGTATATGAGATAGTGAAAGAACTGTTTAATGTCACTGTTTACCAGCCTGATTTCTGGTGTTGTCATACTTGAAGTGCACACTTGCTGTACAGTACTTTAAACCAGCATGTAGTCCCATCGGTTTGCTTTACATTTCCTCACAAATACAACCAATATTTAGGTTTACAGATTCAAGGAGTGTGAAATACCGATTGTGGTTTTTGAAAATGTTGAAAATGTCTCGGGGTGATTGCAAATATTATCCATTCATTCTTATCACCCGGTGCTTGCTGGCTGCTGCATATAAAAAGGGATTGTCAGGAGTTGTAAAGAGGGCTTATTGTTGCATTCCTGCACTGACCACAGCAACAAGCCAAGGCTTTCCCTTTCACAATAACAGACATTTAATTCTCCACAATGCTCAGACTGCTTACTTATTTGGGAGGAAAATATATTGTTTACAGTGCCTGCAGACTCCAAATAGCCGATAAGTGTTAACCTTTGTCCCTTCAATGCAGTGACTGTTTACGACACCACTGTTGCTGTCTACGTGCCTTCAAAAAGAAATCACCATCAATAACAAAAAATTATAATTTAAATGACAATTTTGCAGCACTGAGAATCATAAGTATGTTTAAATTATGTCCAATAATGTTCTTCAAATTAATGTAATTGCACTGACTATTGTATTAATAATGTGTATAAAATGTACTGATAATGAATGCAACAATGATTTAATAGTGTATATCCCTAAGGTTCTCTAACAAAATATAAAAAGGAGAGTCAATCATTTCCTCACTATCTTGGTGAAATTAACAAATAAGTAATGATTTTTAGATGTCATTGTGAATCCCCTCACATGCAATAGACAAAAAAAAAGCAAAATATTTGACAGTCCGACATTTCTTTTTAAATACAATTGTAGATCCTTAGCATTGTGCATATTGTCTATGTTTTTATACACAAACAGCCACGTTTTCAGATAATTTTACATGATTAAAATGATTAATATAAACTATGAATAAAAGTGATAATAATGTTACTTACCCTCTCCACTTGCTCGATGACAGCTCATCACAATGCAGACCGTGAAAACAAAACACAAAGTCCGGAGCCACATAACTGACTCGGAATAAAACACCATGCAGCACTATTCCGGGTCAAATGCAGAATAATCCTTGGCGAGGACACAGTTCAGACTGAAGGAGAAATACCTTCAGGAAATTGGTTTTGTTTGGCGGCGTGGGCCAACAGGTAAACAAAAATAAATAAAAGCCATCCCGGAAGATGGGCGGAGGAACGAGTCCAACGTGTTCACTCAAACACAAGCTAGCACTGCTAAAGTTAGCCACCTCATGGAAAAGCACCCGTAACACACATCACCAGGGGATATGAGAGCTCCTTTTATGTCTTCAAATACATTTGATTGATAAACTGACCCAGTTTAGATTGTCCGTGTCCGAAAAAAGAGCAAAAATAGACTTGTTGTTCCGAAAAAATGCTACGGTTAAGCTAGCTAGCCTAGCTCCACCTCTAGTCCAGGCCACAAGTGAAGTTTGCGCTGCTTTTCAGCAACTATCTCAATATTGTTTTACTTTAAGAAACCCCCCGCATACCTTTACAGCTGCACTGGATATTATTAATACAAAAGTCGATTTGCATGCAAGAAAAATCCCATTAAAGCGACTGATAACTTAATTTAGAGGATTTTTTGGAGCTGCTGACTCGATGGTTGTGGCATGCGTGGCGTAACGTTAGCGTGTCTTTCGTAAAACAAAAAAAACAAAAAGAATCCCTCAATTCCTCCTGCGAAAACAAAACATCGCAGTTGATTTTCTCGCTTGGGAAACAAAGTGTAGTTTTTCCCTGGTCAACTCCAACGAGTCCTCTCCAGTCAGAGCAGAGATTTCAGTGAGACCTCAGCTCTCTGACAGACTTCAGTCGTGGCTCCGCACTTCTTCTTCTTTTTGTTTGGGAATAGAAAAAAAAACACAACCTATAAATGCTCCGAGTTGTGTTCAGGCTCCTGCCACCACAGCAAGTAAGCGTGTATCTGAATGAGAGGAAAGCATGGGAAATAAAGTTGTTTTCCCCTGTTCTTCTTCCACAAACAGAGGTAGATTGTACAGTCTCCCAGCAGGTCCTGTAGGATCCCCTTCTTCAGCCTCCGCCAGTAAACAAACCGAGCCAGTCAGCCAGATGGGCTCCATGGGAAATACGGACTGGAGCTTATTGGATTACACAACAAACTGATCCTACTGTCAGGTGGCAACGCGTCAGAAAGTAATGCATTTATTTATTATATATCCAGAGTAACTAAGTACATTTGCTGTAGTACTGTGTTGAAGTATACACCTTCTGGTACTTGTACTTCATTTAAATATCAAAATGTTCTGCTACTATTAAAGAAGGATTATTTACTCTACTACATTAATTTAAACACTTAAATTACTTTCTTCAATTCAAAAAATATATAATCAACTAAAGATATGATATTATTATAGGTCAAGCTTTCCAGCAGTAGACTATATAGTTTGTAATTAAAATGATATTCACTCTTACAAGATGCAGAGGTAAAGTGATAAAACCAATTAATGCATTAATAATTATATTCCAAAAATAACATACATTTTATTCTGTTAATAAGTACTTTTACTTTTGGTACTTTGGGTTAGGGTATATTTCACTTTATAATTCCATATTTGTAATGCTTATTTTAACTTCTAAACAACAAGTTAAACACAATAAATGACCAATTAATTGAATAATTGGCTAAATAATTGGCAAAAGAAAATGGCTAGTTACAGCAAGAAAATACAATTGTTCTGCTTTCAAAATATAATGACCAGTAAAGTTAGTGTAGTTAATGTAATAATATCTAATCAGCTGCTCGTCCTAAAGTTAAAAGGGATAATTCCAATTATTTTATAAATGTAGTCTTTTAAAATGAATAAAGTTATTCAAATTAAAAAACAGTATTGGAGATCATTATGCTAATAATTGAATTGTACATAATAGACCATTACTGGGATTGGCTTTCAGCGCTTTGCCCCTTCCCCTGATATATGACTCACTTGTGCATGTGAAGGAGTGAACCGATTCGGATTCAGAATTAGATAACTCTGGACCTTGGAAACAATCAATCTTATCTCAAGCTATTTTGCGGCCACATCACAGTCTCAGTTGTTGTTGATCTCCGCTTTTATTTGTTCACATTGCGACATCACACAGACAGAGGAGCAGCTGGTGTATTGAACTATTTTACTACCTGCAATTGTGAAACATTTACAAATACTTGTTTCATGTTTCGTCAAACAGATTGACCATTGTTTACAGATATGCAACATCATTTATAAGATGTACACAATATTGTAAGTGCTGGAATTTAATTAAAGTTAAGACATACATTGTAATGGATAATGAGTTTGGAATAATTCATATTAAAAATTGGACATCAGGGAAACATTTTTCATCAACTTGTCGGATAAAAAATGGAAATAGTTTGATACATTTGGTATAAAAATAGCTAAATATAAAGAATACATTACTTAAAGGTCTAGCATCTGTTACTATAGCACAAATCAAACTTGACCAAACTGACCCAATCATTATCAGTATAAGTTTGTACATGATTTAAAAAACATCCACTTTTATGTAGTTTATAGTGTTAGATTAATTAAAATCCAACATATACATTTTATACATTACAGGGGTTGTTTATGAAGTCATATGTGTTTCTGAAAGAGCCTGTGGATGTCTTAAAATAGAGATGGGGACCACTGCAGTATCGTATGCACACTGCAAATCAAAGTATGCAGTATCAACAAACATGCAAGGTAGAACAAGATTTACTGTACATGTTCGGAAATTAAGAAGTTCCTCTGTTATTCTAGGAAGCTTTGGAGGAAAGAATGAGGAAGGAAAATCCTTGTCTGAGTCAACTATTGTTTAGGAACAGAACATGATGCTCCTTTTGATCCAGTGATGTTCTCACACTCGGAAAAACACTATGGAAAAACACATCATTCACACAGGAGCTCTCAGAGGCTGAAAATATCTTGTTTATGTGAGCTGAGATTGTACCCCAATGCCATCTCTATCAACACTGCTTGTTCACTACCTGATTACGCAGCAGCCTGTTTGGTGCAAGATAATACTATCCTGTTGTTTGTTATTCTGAAATAGATTTGACTGGAATACTAAAAAAGCTGCAATTACGTGATTTCTGTGGCAGCAGTGACATTTCAATCAACGTTTTATTATGAAATATTCTCTAGTTGAGATTTCTCTGCATGTGTGCGAATGAACACCAACCACTATCTGCTGTTGCAGGCATTCAGTCAGACGGAAGGGGCCACTTAGAAGAAAAGTAAAACACGAGAGCAGCTCATTAGTAACATCAGCATTTTGTAATCAGAGTTATTTGGCAAGAGAGGAAAACTTGGAGGTTCCCACATGTTCCCAACAACACTCCTGAGGTGGAAGGAAGAGCGAAGCAGCAAGGTCAAGAGGTGATGCGGGCTAACGCCTCTCAACATGCGTCACTTGTAAGAGGAAGGTTACAATGGCACACAAATAATTAGTTACTGAGCCGATTAGGACATCTTGCAACGCAAGCGCATTAAAGAGGAAGCAGAGCTAAACTGCATGGCTGTAATTTCCATATCTTAAATATAATCACACTGAGTGTACAGTCTGCAGGAGTGAGGTGCCCTAATGAGATTAAATCCTAGCAAATGACTTCATGGAGCCATGTGCCAAATCAAGTTCTATATTTCACTCACAACAAATATCCTAAGTAAGAGTTTTAAGTTTTTGTTTATGATTTTCTTTAGTATTTTGTGCTTATAATGGATATTTTGAGAAGAGGATCTGTTTTGCATATGGGGTTACTACAGTAGCATTTCATATTTAGATACATGCTATCATACAACAACAAATAATAACCAATTATCTTTTAATTATTGTAATTGAGTGCTTTACATGGGAAAGAATAACACCTCAGCATAAAAGTTAAATTTAACAACATTTACAGAATTCAATAAAACAAGATAAAAACATACTAGAGTTGTTTTCTATGTGTTAAATGTGTTGTATGTCAAAAGTGCCTTATAACTTCTTTAAATACCCTCTTTAATAATTAATAATTTAAGCTAAATGTAATCTTCTATAAACCATAAGCACATGTTTCTTATGTTTTTTAATGTCATGTAAAAGTGAACCATTAACCCCATTAAAATATATCTCCTTAAAGTTTGGGTCGGCAACAGGAAAGCCACGTAAGAGTATAGATTTGACTCAAACTGAAAACCCAGCATATCTTTCTGTTTTCTAATGGAGTTCGCAGCACATGATCAAAAGTCAATAAATCTAGCCGGAAAGTCATTAAAGTTTACAACACTGACAACGCATCCCCTCAGGTTCCTTCAGAGCCCCTCCCCAAAATTACTATGAACCCATTATTAACGTCAAATTGAAATGGCTATAGTTAATTCTCACAGCTTTCAAGCTTAACATGTGGAAAACTCAGGTGTTGCAGGAAAAGTGGGATTGTATATTATCAATACATATATTATATATAGATATATATATAACCTATGTTTAATCTTAAATCACAAAACTGCAAAAACTCAACACACCGTTACCACTGTAAGAAGAAAAAGTACTGTTTTTTAGACCTAATACTTAAATGAAACCGCCTGGGCCAGAGGTTCACGTAACCCATGTGCTGTTTTGTCCAAATGGGGGTCATAATGGCTCAGAACTACTTATGTGTTATCAAGGATGTGCTGAACAAAATAACAAATGAGTCAGAAAAACATGATGTGAATGCCTGCTGCCTGGTACTGAAGGCTGAAGGGAAGTTGTTTGTGCCGTGTCTCCTAATCCAGACGACCTGCTAATCCTGACCTCTGCTGGGGTCTGTGAAGGTGGAACAGACTTTACGACCACAACAGGACCCTGGCTTCTACTGGCTTCAGGTGAAAGGTGAAAGAGCACACAGGCGGTGTTTAAAATCATCATCAACCACAATGAAGAATTGATTTGACTCATTCCTCATAAACACCTAGTGCAACATGAGAGTGGTTTTGCATGTTTTAGTTTCACTACTGCAAATAATAAGACATGTTTGATATGCTGCTGCAATTTAGACATTTATGTATTTGACCTGCAGTACAGTAAGAACATTATTAAGCAGAATCATTGGAGTAGTTTTTACAACCAACCAAATCGAGGAAAAAATACTCTTATGATTTCATTGTAATCCTTATTTTATAGGGATGTAACAATACCAAAAACTCACGGTACGATAATATCGCAATAAAAAGTCCACGGTACGATATTTATCGCGATATTGAAAAAGAAAAGAAAAGAATGTGAATTTGTTTTTCTTTATTAAATAATAAATGTCAACAATATAATAATCAGACCCTGCAATAGAATAAATCAAAGTAACTCAACTCTAGCTCACTAACTCACTCACTCAGCATCATCAAGGTTATCTTTTAGGAATATGAGCATGTCCACATTTCCAGGTAGAAGCTGGGATGTTTGGGCGTTTACAATATCCCCTGCTGTGGAAAAAACTCTCTTGCTTGGTACTGATGTTGCTGGGACAGAGAGATATGCTTTGGCCATGGGTGACAGCAGTGGGTAAAACTGTGCATTGTCTCTCCACCACTTCAAAAACAATACAGTTTTTGCCAAGAAGTTGAGGCTTATTGACAGGGCGAGATATAAACATACTGTTGGTACTTGTCAATGTCTCCAGATATGTACATCTGATAGCCCTGTAAATACGATGTCCTTTTGTGTTATCTGTTGTTTTATGTTCATGTTGTAACCTACTTGCTGCCATGGTGGACAGGTCTCCCTTGAAAAAGAGATCGATGATCTCAATGGGACCATCTGGTTAAATAAAGTTTTTAAAAAAAAAGAAAAAAAAATCGTGGTAGATTTTGTCAGTCTCACGACGGTATTGAGACATTTATTTACCGCGATATCCGATATATCGTTACATCCCTATTATTTTAATCTCAGTTTGTTTTTTATGTTTCTGTTTTAATGGAGCATTTGTGGAATAATGTTTTGTCGGTCTTTTTGGTGTATTTATTTATTTACATTTTTGTAAACAAGTGGTGGTTGATATGAATGGGAACACTTTAATTTCCGTATAGATAAATACATTCAACTTTGAGAGAATGTATCTTTGTGTTTCAAGCGAACCAGGGGCTGCAATGGAAAGGTACAACAAACATACTAACTGTTTTGAATATCTGGAAAGTGTCACAGTTAATGAGCCACAACTTGCAAACACAGTGGTCTGTTCCTACATCCATCTCCCCATTGACAAATAACACACTGACTACTTTTAATAATTGGTTACACCTTTTCAAAGCACATCACAAGATTCTCCCAACCAGGCTTTGTATTCCATTCATTTAACTTAAGTATTACAAATTGTATTTGCCAGAGTTTAAACTTGCTTGAACAATTTCCCGCCATTTGGTTTCCTGTCGGCAGTTATGTTGTGTGGTCATGCTGCTCAAGAAATAACTCTTCCTCTGTGGTGCCTTCAAGGAAGCTTTAACATCCGATATTTACATGGGGTCTGTCAAAAAACACTGATTTCACAAGCTAAGTTAACAGGAAATTAGACCCGGAAGACGAACAGTATGCAAAAATAGATGTCCCGGAAAGGAATTTGGCAAAACATCAACATTCGGAGCTTTTTGGCAGCTGATTCTTAAGTGGTTTCCAGAGCAATTAAACAATGACACTGAAGCGGACGAGACAAAAGACAGATAACATAATAAAATAATCATTCAAATAATAAAAACCTTTTTTTATTACTTCTCTTTTTGGGTCGCCACAATTCCTGTTTGTAAGGCTGAGAGATATGGGTTCAAAACTCAAGAAAAAGATAGTTAATGCATTTTGAGTTTAGAATATTTAATCAGCAGAGATATGGTTGTATGGTCACAACAAATATGTTAAAATTAGGTCTCCACCAACTCCTGTGAAAAATTATGTTTTTACTGCTAGATCCTAAACTTTTCTCAGCAGCCTCTGCTTCAGCATGCTCTTTTGTTTCTGAAATGAGTAGAAATGTAATATGTCAACAAACAAAAACAATCACTTAAAATAAGCGAACATTTTCAGTAGGGCTCCTGATTTGGGTCACTACTATTTGTGGGTTTAGGTGACCCATTTTATAGCGAATTTGCGACACACATTAAAGTAATTAACTCGTTAACGCATCAATAATTATAATCCAGTAAATAAGATTAATATTTTTGATGTTTATGCTTCTGTTATTCCACCAAAGCAATATTTTGAATGCAGGACTTGTAACAGAGTATTTCTACACTGTAGTATTGCTAGTTTTAATCCAAGATATCTGAATACCTCTTTCAGCGCTGACGTGTACCCAGCTTGATTTGCGCTCAGCTAAAAGTCAACTAAAAGGTTATAAGGAAGCACACAGCGAGGTAAGAGCTGTTTAATATATCTTATTATAAGGGGAAGAAGCAGCAAAGTAGACACTGTTCGTGGTAAACAGCCATTGAAAAGCCATCATTGTGGTACCACTCACAACAACAGGTGCATTAGTTATGTTGTTTCTCTCTCAGTAATGACATACATATGCTTGAAATCCTCAGGCAGGGATTATTAAAGTGCTCTTACATAAAAGCAAGTGGCTGCTCTCTCTGCCACTCTTAAAGGTGTCTGCTTCATGGAGCTGCATTAAAAACAACCACACACAGTTTAAATGTGACAGCAAAAACAACAGGTCAGAGTTCAGCCTGATAAGACGGACTCACTGTGTTTTTATGAACACTGTGACATTCTGGTGTTATTTATGTCCGTCTGTATCTATAAGAGGTGGGGTATAGGGCTTAAGAATGATAATATTTTCTATAAGGAGGAAAAGCATCCAGAGATGTTGGGTTTCTTGTGTGTGAAAGAGCAAGCAGCCGGAGGCCCACACCTATCTCTGAGTTAATCGTCAACCAATGTGCTAGGAAGTCATGTGAGGAAATGTCAGGTTGAGGGTCTGCATATAGAACATGGGAAAGTCGACATTGTGGCAGATGTTAGTGACAAAGCCAGGTTCACACAGACCTGTTTGACTGGAAGAACAATGAGGTTCACACATGATTCATCCCGGGGCTCTTCCTCGACGTCAATGTGCTACAGGAAAAGATGCTGCTGGTGTCAGGGCAGAGTGGGACATCCACTGGGCCCACTTCCCTTTCCCAGTACGTCTCAGCTGCACGCCTCTAAAGACAGATTTCTTCCTGCTGACACGTACAGTGTTTGCAAAAACAATACTTTTGGTTTTGAGGCTGAACATGATGGATACACTTCATATCTCAGGTTAATGGACTCTCTCATTTATAGTGCTGTGGACTGTGCATGGCCTGTAGCCAAGTCAGGGAGGCCACTTTCCAAACATGTAAGCACTCTTCCACTCTCATGCACCTAATTGAAGCCTGGAAAGTAAATGTGCTATGACAGCGACTATACATCACAATACATTCCAGCAGCTCCCCCAAATAGTCACATGGCCTCCCTTCATCTGCAACATGAGCACAAAAAGTACAGAAAAACACTAAAGAGGGACTCCCGCACTCACACTTACGCCTTAGTGATCTAAGCAGCTACCTTCTCTAAAGTGCTCAGAAAAGTCGCTCTTGTTAAAACATGCCCGATCCGTTCGCTGCCAGAGAGCTGTTAATCCCAACAAGGCAGCGCGCCCCTAATTCCCAGGGAGCTGGAACCTGCCGTGTGTTGATGTGTTGTGTAGCGACAAGCAACAAGGCCTCAAGTTAAAACACCCCCCCCATTTCCTTCTTTTGGGAGCCGTTTGTGTTTGACATAGGGAAAGGTTTGTGGTGCAAGCGAATGTTGTATAACTTTTACCTGTAGAGGAAACTTAAATCAAAGTATGGTATGAAACAGTAATCAAGTGGTCATTCGCACACTGAAGCCAACATGGTACTCACTGAATGATGAAGGACTCTCAAAATGAGACCCCATGGTGTTGTCAATTTTAACAAAATCCACCTCAGTGCCATTCATGGAAGAAGTACTCAGATCCTTTCATTTGTCCTTTTTCCTATCATGATCCTTTTCAAAATATGTATTTAAAAAGTCAGTTTAAGTGTCACATACATGTAGTAGACTTAATCGCATTGTATCCCCTCTGAAATGAAAGTATAAAGTAGCTTAAAATTAAAATAATCAAGTCAAATACAAGATAGAATTGTACTTGAAAAATGTAATTAGTTACTTTCCACAACTGTTTCAGTGTCCAGTGCTATTAGAGATCTCCGTAAACAATGAGCGTGGATTAAAGTTAAGAGTCTTATTATGATCTCTTCCTAAGACCACACAGCACATGTTGCTCCACTCGGACACTTTGCCTGTCTCATCACATGCAGAGCGTATAAACACAGCGAGGCTGCTCCGGCACGCAGACTATTCTCCTCTTATCAATAATAGTCCACATTAATGAGTTGAAATATCTATTCCACATTCACACCATGCTGCAGATTTACTGTTCATAATCAATTGCTAAAGTAAAATGAACAGAACTCAACATATATAAGTGAAAAAATACTTTAAGAAGTTGAACATGTCTTAATGATTGCAACCTCTAATTCATTTGGGAACCTTTATTGAGTCATAGAGAATCCATCAGGAGAAAGAGGAGAACAAATACATTAAATAATAATAATAAAAGTTAGTTTAAGTTTTGGAGTAAACCATGTACTGTTACAAGACCACGTGCATGTATTTGTTCCTTTGTCTACACTACTTGTTGTATAGGAACACATGCATCAAATAGATTGACCCTGTAATTCCTCCCCATCTGTTATTCAATTATTTATTTGTTTCAGTATTGCGTGCTTGTTGTCGTTCTTGATATGTTTGTCTTTGAAAATGTACCATCAAATCTAAAAGTTAAAACATTGGGGCACCTATATCAAGAGGTAACCGTTTCTAAATAAAGCAACATTTCAAAAGGGCTTGATAGATACAACAAGTCTATCCAAGTAATAGGAGAAATATAAAAGAGTAAAGGATTATGATGCATGTTTGTGAAAGGGTCTTGAGGCTACAAATACAAATTTCTACAAGACTGATGACACACTAAATACTAAAAGAAAAAGGATATTTTTAAAGTTAAAGCTGTGGATACAAAACTCTTGTGAGCGCTGACCTTTAAGTTAACGTTATTGTACCATAGAGGCACAGAAAGGTCAAAGAAAAGCCTAATGTTGTTCAAATGATTATCTGGAATGTTTAATATATTCAGATAGCTCATGAACCACCACACATTCCTCTCCCCAGCACGTTATTACAGTAGCTGCTTTTAACATTCAAATAGATATCATTCTGGCTCTGAAATGACTTGATTCTGGATCAAACCGCCCACCTACACTTGCTCAGGGGAGTGATGGCCTCGTTTCCTGCCAGACTTTACTACTGCCTCCATGTGGCTTTAATAAAGAAAGGCTCAGAGAGTAAGTAAGCTTATGTCTGTGCATTAATAACAGACAGTGTGTTGGTGGAGGGAGGCATTAGAGCCGCGATAGAAGTCCGAAGGGCAGGATTACTAAACAACTAACCAGAAAAGTGAGAGCTTTAAACAAAAAAGAACTGGTATTACGAAGAGTCAGTAAAAGATGAATGGGTTACTAACTATTTGTTATGGGATCAAATAGGATTTAGCAGCCATTATATTTAAGATCCCTGTTTAAACAAAACACATGAGAATTATTTAATGTTTACTTGCTCACTCAATTAGCTTTGGCTCAATAATGAAACACACCTCCCAAAACTCACAAAGACAACTCAAACATTTCATTGTACAATAAACCTTTAATAAATAGTTTGTCATTAGTTTCCCATATTTACATAATAACCACCATTTACTTATGTTGCCATACTCATTTCTTGGCTAATTTTAGGCACACAGAGAGGGGGGTTCAGGCCACAAACCACATCGTACTAAAAACAGGAGTGGCTAGCAGGTAAATCTTGAGAAATATAGAATAATAATTGCACCATACAACCAAATAGACCAAGAGGTGGCCGTCTCCTTGAGCGATAGATATATACATTAGCTGTACGTACAGGTGACGTTTGTACATTTACAGTCTTCTGCTTGGAAAATGTACGGGTGCACATGGGCTGGTGCAGAATCTTACCAATTTGTGTAGGATCTGAATTGTTTACCAATGTGTTGGTCCAATAAATGATAAAGAACTATATGATATTTAGAGAATAAATCGACACCGATGGCCTCCTGTCTAGTAACTCCCCTTCTGAAATAATAAAAACTAGGACAGGTTAAGTCAAAATGTTGAGGGTATAGTGTGGTCAACATGTACAACTTGGCTTCAAACATTCAGTGACTTGTTATCTACTGATCAATCTGGGACTAATATCAAATGTAACTACACACAGTGAAATGCTTGTTGTTAATTGAAGATTGAAACTGAACAGATTAACCATCTAACCAAAAGATTCCTAAAAATGATCAGATGAAGTTTGAGCACTAAAACTTAAATCTTCAGCCAAAGAAATTAAGACACACAAAAGAAAATATTCAAATCACTCAAGTGAGCAAGCACACGTACACACACACACACACTGTATGAAAAAGCAAACCAAGAAAAATAAAACATTTGGCACAAAATATAAGACGAACATTTCTCTTCAGATAGATGTTAGACAGCGTCACACCCACTTAGCTTCGAGTCCGTGTCAGGCTTTGATTTAAATGCACCCGAGGCATTTATAAATGAACTTCTAGGATCATTTTCTCGTGCAGTTTGTGAACAAAAGGGATCACAGTGTCACTGATGAAACACCCCAAAATAGGTGTAGATCTAAATCATTGGATCATGGAGCTGCAACAGTTTCTGAGGGTCATGTTGAACCTGAGCCACCTATTGGCTGGAAAGGTAACAGCTGACAGATATGCCGATGTGCAAAAACCACTGGCTCGATTTGACTAAAACCTGTTTAAGGGTGAGGCGTCGACCAAGGAATGGATTCAAAATCACAGGCTGCTTAATTTGAATGTATACTAGGGGGTAGGAGGCAGGATCAAAACTCATATTCTAATTCTGTTTTTTTTTTTCATTCTGTTTGAAAGGTTGTTTTGTGTTGTTTTAAACTCATGGGAATTTATTTTCTATATTTGCTTTGGTTTACTAGGATGTGAACACTGTTATTTCCATGTTTTTATGAATGAATACATTGGAACTTGATCCTCGAGACACTTTATGATGGAATAGTTTGAGTTTTTCAGTTAGCATGTTTTTTGGTGGATATTTTAAAACCACCTGCAGCGGTCACATCTGCTAAACTCTAAGCAGCTGTTTCCTTCCTAGCCTGTAGGGGGGCAACAATTATTTGTTTGGCTACAAATTTGTTTTCCTAAAGGTGGTGCGGGTTAAAGTGCACACACCGGTCTGACAATAACCAAACCGCTCCTTTTGTGGAGAATCGGATGCCTACACAATTGCGAGTTAAAAGCCAGTTCCTTGAGATGCTTCACATCTGAAATGTCTACCATCTGTTAATTACAATTTGGGAAATATGCAGTGCCTGTTGACTGTATGAAGATTACATTAAGCGCCAGGGGTTCTGTGAAACCGTTTCATTGCTCATTACATCACACTTAACCTTTGAATGATCTACTGCAGCAGCACGAGTGATATTCTGTTCAACCTAATGATATGAATTCAAAGACTCTGTATCCTGATAGCGACTCCTCTCTAGCTACAAATGTTCCAGAAGCTTATGAAATTAAAAAACCAGTTTTTTTGTAAGCCTTGACCATGATGGTGATAAATGTCCGGAAACAAATTAACGTGGGCTTGAAAACAGGAGGAATAAAAAGTGTGTAACGGCTCCGATGGGAGCGATAGCGTAAAGATTACAGAGCCTTCTCAGACCTCGGTCTTCATACAGGTTACATAATTAATATATATATTTATATATATATATTAAGTCACTTCGAGGCAACATTTGTTTCTTGAATAAAAACTTGAAGCACAACTAGCCTTCAGTTTCTAACGGAGAAAATATACAACCCAAACTGTACTACTAATCTAGAGAATGGCAAGTAAACATTAAGAAACAGTTTCTGCTAATAAAGTAGTCTCTCTCCCACCTCTCTCTGTAAGAAGTGGGATGTTGCGACAAAGTGTGGTCTTACGAAGCTTTTTATATCGGAACTGGTTGACCCATCCTGACCTTGATTAGGCAGCGCTCTCCAACAGAGACTCCCCTCGCAGGTTTCTGCTGTGCATTCAGAGTAAGATCTGAGTTCACTTCTCCAGAGACTTTAACAGAGCTGCATCACAAGCATCCAATCAGAGGTTAGCTTAGACAAGTGCTCAACGATCTGTTTGTTAAACCCTCGTTGGACAAGCAAAGTTGCCACTTCACTGGCTTCAGAGGAACATGAATTATCACACAGGGATTTAGTAACGTTTGACCAAAACAAAAACACCCTGGTTGGTTTTGCACCAGGAGAAGGGGGGGTGCAAGCTGTTGTTCGCTCTCTGTCACTGCTTTAATAGAAACCAAGGATAAGAGTCCAGCTCAACCGGGTCACACACCTTTCCACTGCAGCCCAAAGCAAATGATCCTCAACGCACTCTCTTTCTTTATAACGGGGCGCTTTGAGAGTCTTCCCTATACCCTGCTTTAAAAAAGAAAGAAAGAAAAGGGCCACTAAGTTAGGGGTGCCCACTTTTTGTGCCGTGGACACAAACACCTCTTGGTGGCACTTGAGTCTGATGTGTGCCTGAGGTGAGTGTGTGTCCATGTGGTGAAATGTGTGTATCAGTCCGTGTGTGTGTTTGGTTGGTTGGAGCTTTCTGCCCCCCGGAGATGTGGTTATACGCTGCTGTCCTCCAGCAGCGGCTCCTTGCCCTCGGCCCCGCTGCCCTGGGGGCTGTGGGAGTGACTCTGGGCCCCGTTGCTGTGCTTCTTGTAGGCCCCGGGCCTCCCGCCGGGCCCCGTGTGCTCCGGGATGAACAGCGCCACCAGCAGGGACAGCAGCACGGAGCACGCACCAAACAGGAAGGGGGGGCCTGGGATGATGGAACTCTGAAAGAAAGACAGAGAATCATCAAAGTCAACTTTATTGTCAATCTTCCAGTTTGTGTGTACAGACGGAGAGAACGAAATACCGTTTCCCACAATACTGAAAATAAAAACAAATGTATATAAAAATAGGTGTGCAAATATGTAGATATATACACAGAATCAAAGACACATTTTTACATGTGCACACATTAAGACCTAAATAAAAACGCAACAATCAATATATACAAAATAACAGTCACTTCACATCCTGTTTAAAGGGACAGTTCACTATAAAAAATCTAATATAGATACATGTAGATATATTTATGAATCGAGATTGTTGCATTGTCTCATTGTTGACCAAGACCATATGTTTCCTGTATCAAACTACACCAGCCAACACACAAGTCTTTTCTCCATGAACTAGCTGCTTCCTCCTGTGCAGTGATATGGTTGGAAGGTGTATTTCTGTAGAAAGAAAATGGTGCTTCCATAAAAGTGTTCACAACAAGATCTGTGGACTATGTTGAGTAACCGGTTCCTGTTTTCTAGAAAGAGCTGTATTTATTTTTTTACCACTTTAAGCACCACAAGTGCCATGAAATAACATCATATTTGATAGAAGACAGATATGTCTAGAGGTCATAACATTCACACCAAAACAATAATAGCATTACAGGTATGAGACAAATACGTTTTTCTTATTTTGAGGAGCTGTCTCTTTAAGTACAGCTTCAATATGTGCAACATGTTTGTATTGTGTAACAGTATTGTGCAACTACCTCATCAGTGGGGTTGGCCATGTTTGGTTTGCCACCTTTCTCGGTTCCGTCTGGGTCCGTCAGCTCCACGTGGAACAGGTAGAAGACAAAACCGTAAAGAGCGGGGCCCAAACCGTTACAGAGGCCCCGGATTCCAGTAATCATCCCCTGGACAACTCCTACAGGCAGACGGAGAGAAACACAATGCTGTCAAGATGATACATGCTACATTTCAGAGGGCAAACTGAACATCTACATACGTCTTTGTACATTTTGTACTTTGTGTTTCAATCATTTAACTTATTTAAGACTTTTTTACTTGAGCAGAACGGTTATATTAATTAAAAGATCACAGATAGCACTCTGTTTAAAGAAAAAGAACACGTATACATGCTTAGTTTAACAACAAGACAGAGAAAAGGTGAGAGATGTATCAGCTGAGTGTTTACCTTGTTGGTCGGGGTCTGCGTTGCGGGACACGATGGCGCTGATGGCGGGGAAGGTGATGCTCGACATGGCTGCCACCGCTCCAGCAGCCCACATCATCCTACAGCCAACAACACACATTTGTTAAGGATACAAACAAAGCTTTATTTAACCTTTTAAGAATTTGATTTGTACATGTTCTTTAAAAGGTGGATGAAAGGTTGGTACACAGATTTTGGTTAAAACCGTATGTGTAAAAAAACGTATCTGAATAAATGGTCAAATATTTATTTCAATTTAACAAAACTGCTATTATTAAATCAGAAACCCTTTATTTGTCCCACAGCGGGGACATTCACTAAGTAAACAGGGACCGAGATGACAAATTCCAAAATGTCACTGTCACGAAAAACTAAAACCGTGACGATGTTTTGTATTTCCATCATAAACTTGACTGCCTTGAAATTGTAGAAATTCGAATGATAATCCCAAACATAGACACTAGACAGAGGATATTGTTTATATTTTTGTGAACAGGGAACAGCTTGACCTTTTTTCAACCTAATTTCCTGGGTATTGACCAAAGCAGAGCGGAGCAACAAGGAGACAGGTCGTGAATGTTTTCCTTCAGGATCAATACACATTGTGGGTCACTCCGACTTCTTGGCAAAAACAACAAGAGAAACTGACGCAGTTGATATGATCTCACTACAAGAGAAGTGAAACTGATAGTGTGGCCTGTGTGGGTGGGTGGGGGATTTTTTTTATAAAAACCACAATCTCTCCAATTACAAGTGAATGAACACAGAAGGATTAGTTTTACTACTGTTTATTTTGCCATACAAAGGCATGTTTGACAGGCGATTCATCTCAAACTGTAAGGTCAAAGACAGTTAAATGCCTGTGCACGTGTAAAAAAAACTATTACGCAATAGTCAAACTAAAGGTTTCGAGTTACAACACTACACTATCAGAATAGACTATCACCAGTATCTGGTTACAGTGCTGTGGATTGAGGCTATGCTTCCCTCTGGTGGTTTGTCACGGTATTACAACAACAACATATTTTAACGCAAAACCATTGACATCTAGATTTGAATAGTTTCCATGTCAGTTTTATATCAGACTGTACTCCATTTTTAAGGAATCTCTCTTCACAGTCACAAAAATCAACAAAAAAAAGGCAGAAGAATTTTTTTTAAATCCTTTGCTTTAAAGTATTTTATGATTTTCTTTTTTATTCAAAAGGTTAATTGATGTGCTATGCAGAAGTTATTCACCTTTTCCCTGGGGTTGAACGGGCCATCACTCACTTAGTCACAGGCATTATGACTATGACTGCAGTATTGCACCATGTCGCAGGAAATGTTAGTCATGTTAGCCAAACTTACTTCCTTCCTTGAATTATATTCACTGACTGATTACATTTTCTTTCTTACATCAGTACTCACTTTGGTAAACCTTGCCAACTAATTTGAAACCTGAGCTCAACTTCACTTTTGGGATTCAATAAGTGGAATTGAAAAACATATTTGATTGTTTTTAGAATATTGGGTATTCGACTTGTAAATATAAATAAAAGTAGTGGAAAGGTGTGTGTGTGTGTGTGTGTGTGTGTGTGTGTGTGTGTGTGTGTGTGTGTGTGTGTGTGTGTGTGTGTGTGTGTTTACTGACCAGGGCTGAGAGCCGAAGCCGTACCACGCCAGCTGGAGGATCTGGAAGCCCAGGCCCAGCAGGATGGTGTTCTTGTTCCCGATGGAGCGCATCAGGACCCCCAACACCACCGTCTGAGGAAACACAGAACAAAGGTCATACAAGAAACCTTAAACACGCATTGAATCATTTATCAAAACCTTTTCAATATTTTTTGTAATCACTATTGAATCTTATATGGACGGAAAGATTATCTGAAACAATGTTAAAATGAAATGTCAATAGTTTGGATAGCTTTACCACCTTTGTCTTCTGTAATGGTACACTGAAAAACAAGTTTGTTTTAGACAAAGCAAGAAAAATGAAGACTGTCTGCTGTGTACACACATCCATCACATGTCTGTCCGTCCTCTGCTGCTCTTCCCAAAGCTTTTTCCTTTTGTTATTTCTCCTTTGAATGGAAGTACTTATTTTAGACTTCAAATTGGCAACTTGGGTTCTGGGATTTTGTGAATTCTGAAATCTTTTACCCTTTTCTGCCACGTTATAGACAAAAAACACAATAATAACACTCAGAACATGACTCCTCAATATCACATGCAATTCTACAGCAGAAGCGTATTTTGTCGTACCTGGGCTATTATTGAGAGGATCCCCACGACAGCGATAAAGGCAGCGACTGTCTCTGGTGTGAAGCTTATGACCTGAGGGTGAGAGCATTCAGATAACACAAGTTAGGACGTGAAAAGAACAAGCATGCAGAGACGAGCAAGTATCTCAAACACTAAACCTATTTCTCACAAAACAATGGAAAAAAAGTATTTGTATTTGGCCTTATGTAAACACGAGATGTTGACTATTGTGTCCTGGAACAACAAAGGTGCTTGGCTTTTTCCTTCCCTTGGATTTAGGTCAAACTGCCCTTTATCCACTTTAATAGTATGTATAATTCATTACAATGAATGTGGAGAGATATATGATAAATGGCCTAACTGGAACAGGAAGGCGTGTAGAGTAACGCTAACAGCAATCCTTCAGAACTAGTTCTCTGGCTTTTGAAGGATGGTGGCAGCAGAGAATGAGCTTCAGACTCCCCCGACTGGTTCTCCTGACACTCTTTACACAATCCTCTCTTCAGCAGATTGCGAAAGGACATGAAATCAGTTTGTCTAGAAACCGACCTGCTGCTTCCAGATGATACTCTCCATTTTAGGCTCGTTGTGGTTTTAAAATAGATTTCCTGCGGTTGCATTTTGCTGAGACACCTTGTAAATGTGCTCTACTTATACACACTGAAACTGGCTGCTCAGCAGATCTGCTGATCCAATCTTAAAGTGATGTTAGCAAAAGTGTGTGTTGGACAATCCCCCCCCTCAGCTATACTTCGACGAGCTTTCCAGTAGCAATTTAAGTCTTTTATTAGAAAAACTAATGGATAAAGTCGGATGCTGCTGCATAAAATACCACATTGCAATGTCCTCCGTATGGAAACCCAACTTGAGCTGAGGAAGCAGTTTTTTCATTTCTGAATATCACCACAATCATTATGTAACGTAATTTTCGGACTATAAGCCGCGCCTTTTTTCCCATTTTTCGACGCTGCGGTTTATATAACGGTGCGGCTAATCTATGGATTTTTACAGCTAACGGCCACCACCTTTAACGCTATGGGCTCTATGGCCGGTCCGCGCCCCCCACCTTTAAGCGGCGGGTTCCAGCAGGAAAAGCTGGAGGCCGGAAAAGAGTGAGACAGGTAGCGTGCAAAAGTAAAAGTGGAACCGAGAGTGGTACGAGAGACAGAACGAGAGCAAGACAGACAGACATTACGAGAGCGAGACAGTTTGTCCCCGTACCACTGCTGTAGATCACTGCCGGTACGTACGCTGGGACCCAGCGTACGTACCGGCAGTGATCTACAGCAGTGGTACGGGGACAAACTGTCTCGCTCTCGTAATGTCTGTCTGTCTTGCTCTCGTTCTGTCTCTCGTNGCTTTGAGGGGTCTTAAAGACTGGATAAAGCGCTATATAAGTACAGTCCATTTACCATTTACTTCAAAAACAATTGTCTCTAAAAAGTCAATTTGTCATGATTCAGCTTTGTGAAGAGGAATTTGCTGTTGATCCAAGAGGATTTCAAATACTTTATTTAGCTTTACTCGACACATAAAGTAATAACTTGTTTATGCTCAGAATTCTAGACAGCATTATTCTGTTACATGAAATCATCATTTCAGCATGTTTTTTTGTACATTTCTAGTTCATCAGTTGACCATTTCTATTGCTGTAAACCCTTTCCTCCAACTGTGTCAGCTATTCAATCCCTATAGATACTGTATACATCTAGCTTTTCAAGTACCAATTGACTTCAAAAACAATTGTCTCTAAAAAGTCAATTTGTCATGATTCAGCTTTGTGAAGAGGAATTTGCAGTTGATCCAAGAGGATTTCAAATACTTTATTTAGCTTTACTCGACACATAAAGTAATAACTTGCTCAAAATGGTAGACAGCATTATTCTGTTACATTAAATCATAATTTCAGCATGTTTTTTTGTACATTTCTAGTTCATCAGTTGACCATTTCTATTGCTGGTGACCTACTGTTTTCACCCAAGTCCTTCTTGTTATCGTTCCCACATACCACACTGTGTGTTCATATTGATATTCTGTCCTTCTTTGTGTTTATCTTCAGCCTTCCTGAGGCCACAGATGAAACCCTGCTGGACAAGTTGCAGCAACAGCATCAAGACAAAACCTTCTTTGAACCCGCCTCAAATACAACTTTTGTCATTCAACACTTTGCTGGGAGGGTTACATATCAAATCAAGGTGGAGTTTATTTCCCACACTGCAAACATCTTTATACTACAAAGTAAATATAAAAGTAGGGCTGGTCGATTATGGCAAAAATCATAATCTCGATTACTTGGGTCAATAATTGTAATTGCGATTATTAAATGCGATTATTCATTGACTTTGAAAATATCCATTTATTGGAGAAAAAAAATGTGAACAGTATGTTTTTAGCAGTTGATTACCCTGAACTTTAATTATAATTCAACTGAAAAACGAAAAAAATAAAAATTATTGAAAAAAAATAATTTAAAAAAGTAATAATAATATTAAAAAAATAATCGTTTTATTTCGATTACGTTGTTTTCGTAATCGTTGCAAGCCATAATCGTAATCGCGATTAAAATACGATTAATTGAGCAGCCCTATATAAAAGCATTTCAGTAAGTGTCCACTGTGACAGAGAGAGGGTCTGCAGTAGCCTTCTCAGATAAGCCACCGTGGGAAAAACCTAGAAATGTTTGAACTAAGTGAATGATTAAAGCTGCTCCCTTCACAAGAAGCCTGTTGTTTTCACAGTAGTGAAGACATGTCATGAATGTGGAGCTCACTTTTGTGCAACTACAGCCGGAATAAAGGAATAACACCATGTTGATCGTGATTATTCTTGCTCTTCAGGATTTCCGGCAGAAGAACACAGAGCACATGCTTCCTGAAGTCGTGTCACTTCTACGGAGCAGCGAGAGGGCGTTCGTGCATCACTTGGTCGCGTCCAGTCCAGAAGCCCTTTTCAGATGGGGAGTGTTGCGAGCCACCATCCGCATCCTCACCATTTTCAAGAACTTGGGACGCAAGCGGGCAGAATCACGTGGGTAGCTTTAGTTGCAAATGGAGCCACATTTCTATTTTAGAATCTGCAGATTTGTCTTTGCAGTTATAACATGTTTGTTTAACTGACTTTTTCTCCAAGACCCAGGTGTCCTCCACTTGATTCATGTGTTATTTGAATTCTTCTTTGAGTAATGTTCTGATGATCTACTGACTTGCTGTTTTGTCTCTTCAGTATCTGCCAGAACACGCAAAACCCTCCGAGAGATTAAACAGAGCAGCTCTGCTGTGGACAGGCTGTCCAGGTACATTTACTACACTGGTGCATTGGAAATTGATTTTACTGCCACTGACTGTCTCCGTTTAAATATTTATATATATTTGATACAACAAGATGCATTCAATCTGACTATACTTCTTGAATCAGGCAGGGTTTCTTTGTTTCAAATTCAGATCTGTTTTTAAAAAAGATTTGACATATTAAAAGTACACAACCTAGAGGGAACAATGTACGTTGCTTACAAATAATGAACACCTTTAAACATGTGCTTATCAAAAACGAAATATAAACTTCAAATCTCTCTCTCTGATGTTTTCAGCCACAGTCTGACTCTGGATTTCTCCTTTGATCGCTCTGATGAACATCCTCTCGATGTATTCGAAGACATCTTTGCCAATTATGAAAAAAGAAAGTAAGTGGGCATAGGGCTTGAGTTCAAACAGACTTCCCACACATTATTTTCAAAGCTGTTTATTGTATCGAGCTGTACTTTGTGTGTATTTTCTGCAGGAAAATTCGCAGCGGTCGACAGAAGCAGCTCATTCCAAAGGTGAGTCTTTAACGATAAGTTCAGCGTTAGCTTTTAAAGTAATTTAAAAAAAGCATAGATGCTTGTGATTGTTTTGTTTATTTTTCACTTCATGCATTTCTGTGTGTTTATCCATCTATCATGTATGGGTCCATCAAAAGCTCACAGATGTTATCATGTCTCTGAACAGAACCTCATGGATCTGAAGTCCCTCCGTCATATCGTTGGTGTCACCGCACATGACAGAACCAGCAAATATATTTTCCACCCTCACCGCAAGTCAAAACCTCCGACTGTCGCCGCCCAGTTTCAGGTTTGTACCTCTGCCGACTAATATTCCTGCTCTGTTTCATAATCTCAAATCATGACATAATGTGAGGAACATGAAAGCAGTAGGGAATGGAACTTGGATAAAACTAAAGCACTATGAATAAATATTAATCGGCAGGCAAACAATATAATAACTTTTGCATCTCTTTAAGCCACACAAATGTTACTCCTTAAATAAGAGGAAATATTTCCTCCAAACTTTAAGCTATGGATTAAAAACCTTTATACATAATTTGACATTGGAGAAAAAATGTCATTACATCACAAACTGTATGAACTGTGATTTAAGGGCCATATTGAAATCATGTTAGGCTCACTAGATACCTGCTGTGTTGATGTTTGATCATAGTGGACTGAGCATAGGATGGCTCATGTACTACGAGTACAGAGAATACAATAGTTTTAAAACTCCACACTATTCCCTTTATTCTAGAAACAAATTGTGTTTTATAATCTACTATCATAAGAACTTAACCATCAACCCAATCACCACTCTGTATCTCACAGGCCTCCGTTGGGAAGCTGATGGAGACAATTGAAAACGCTGAGCCGTTCTTTATTTTCTGTGTTCGCTCCAACGCTGACAAGGTATCTGTCAATCTGGAATATCATCCTAAGTGTAAATGCAGTCCTACACATGTACTGTTCATCACTTGGTTGTTTTTGTGTTTGCAGAAGGAGCTACACTTTGATGAAGAGCTTGTGCTAAAGCAACTCCAGTACACAGGCATTCTGCAGCTGGTTCACATTCAGAAGGCTGGCTACAGCGCCAAATACACATTCAAGGTGGGAAATCATTTCTTAATGATGTTGTAATAATGATAGATTTATTTTGCTTTTACAGGTGCTCAAAGACGCTTTACAGATATGGTGAAAAGAAAAGAACAACAAATAAATATATAGTTAAAGTTAAAGTCAAATAATACAAAAACAATCACAATGTTGTACATTATATTCAAGCAATTTTTAATGACAAGGAACTCACTTCTGTACCTATCAGTGACGAGAAAGTTAAGTTGCACTTCTGATACTGTTTTGTTCTTGTTGACAGGAATTTGGCGGGAAGTTCAGGATGTTGCTTCCTAAAGGAGCGATTGCAACTTCGGAGCAAATAAGTGAGCTGTTTAAGAGGATGCAGATCGAAAAGACCAGCTATCAAATAGGAAAAACCAAGGTAAACATTCTTGATAATGATAACATTAATGTATTCTGATAGTAACTCTACAGAGTCCTTGTTATGTTGCCATGTTGGAAACTTACTTTACACTGAGCTCACCCGTAAGCACTGTTTGTACCTGCATTAATGTTGTTGCTTTTTACTTTGAATGAAAGCATCCAACAGATGACTTTCAAAATCTCTCTTACAGTAAACTGTTACTTAACCCCTTGAATGGTTTCTGTATCATAGTGGGTAGATGTATTTGACAGGGTGTGTCCATGTCTAACAGGGCTGCATGGATGTATAAATGTTCCCAGTGATTTCAAAATGTGTTTGTTTCTCATTCATCTACCCAGGTGTTCCTCAAGGAGAAGGAGAGGCAACTGCTCCAAGACACTCACAACAAAGAAGTGATGCGTCACATCATCGTCCTGCAGCGCTGGTTCAGGGCCTGTCTGATGAGGTCACACTTCCTGCAAAAGAGAGATGCCACTCTGATTATACAGGTACTGTTTAAAGTGTAAAATGATAGTGCTCCAACACATGGTACGTGGTAGGCAAAAGAGCAGGGCATCTCTTAGCGATTGACCAATCACAACAGAGCAGGCCAGCTAACCAATCAAAGCAGACTGGGCTCTGGTTTCAAACATTGAAGCTTAAAACAAGCATAATATGTCCTTTAAATAGTTTGTCCCTGTGTCTTTTCTGCTCCAGCCCAAAATATATAAGTCTTAAAGCAAATAAAGACACAGGAGACAAAAGTTGATGATTTCTGGTGTTTTTCAGAGGAGCTGGCGTGAGTTTTACGAGAACCAAAACCGGGCTGCTTCAGTGATCCAGACAGCGTGGAGGATTTCCCTGAAGAAGAAACCCGGTGAGACAGAGGATGAGAACCCGTCCGAAGAACGACCGGGACGAGACAGGTACACACACAAGTAAAACTACACTGCTTACATTGTAAGAGTTACACAGTAGTTCAATTGGTATACATTAAAAGAGATATTTGTTGACAACACTAACAGGTTTATTCCAATGAATGTAATACTGAGGGCTCTGTCGGAGGACTTTTTCATTTTATTTTAGGGTTATAAAGTCACAGAATAGGAGGACAGATTATCAAAGTATCATTCCAAAAACATTTCAGTTTCATCATCATTTCAAGTAAATAATAAAATAAATGAGAAAGCATTATCATTTATGGAAACGTTAATGTGACACCAGCCTGATTTAACGTTCCTTACACAACAGCTTGAAGAAGGAGCTAAAGAGGCAGGAGAAAGTGGAGCTGAGCCCCAGCAGGAACCAGGACAGGTCCCAGAGTCGAGAGAGACGAGAGGGCCGAGGGTCGCCTCCCCCTCTCACCAGACCCCTCTCCCTCCCACTGGACACTAAAGATGACAGTGATGACGGCTCTTCTGGCCCCTCAAGTACGAGCAGCTCGCTCCAGCGCTACAAAGATATGGGGGGCATCAAGAAAAAGGCAGAACAGTGGAGGGAAAGAAAGAGCGAGGGCGAACACACGGATGAATCAAGTCCAGAAGTGCGGCGGAAAGATGAGTTTCGGTAAGTATCATAAACTATTGGAACAGATCGAAAATAGCTTAAAGCTTCTCATCCTTCTTTAAGTATTGTATTTGTATGCATGATCCTTTTTGAATAAAGACACACATTTAACTTCAAATCGTCAATTAATATTGCACAACAAGGTCTTTTTTTATGTTAGTATTTATTGTTTCTCTCATAATTAGATAGACATATAGACATGGCAATGCTTTCTCTAAATGTATATCTTGATGGTCTTTAAGGTCTTTAACGTTTTAGTCCCACAAGGGTCATGAAGTGTGTCTATATCATTCTTTAACACAGGAGCAAAGGGAAGTCCATGTCTGTAGATGAACTGTCCAGGATCAGCACATCAGGCTCGGATAGCTCACCTTCTACCAAGGAGGTAAACATTTGAGATATGTTATTATATTATATAAAAAACACTACAACATTAAATGTTATGTAATGTTTGTTGTTGTGAGTGTCTTGTACAAAAATACAGGTTGGCACTGGCTTTTCAAAGTACTGTAGTTACAGTACAGTATGTGTGCTGTAAGCTCATAAACGCACAAATGGAGGCTCCTTACGCATGATTATAAAAAAAAGGCCTCCCACTCATCACCTCTCCTGGCTCAATTAGGTCAGCGTGCGTCTCCGCAAGCAGCCCAAACGCAAGCGGCGCTTAGCCAATGCCCGCAGCGTTATGATGCTTAACTTTGGGAGCTCCAAGGAGAGCGAGTACTGGAGCTATCCGCTGCCCCCCATGAGCCCCTTTCTGCCCACAATGAAGAACTCGGCCAGTAGCGTGGATGTCTGGCCCTCAAAAACCAAGGTCAAGGTACCGACCAAACGGACATTTTAACGCAACAAGACAACCCTCTGCATGCAGGCGTTGCTTGGGACTTCTCCTTTCTGCTCTGCAGCCCAGGAAAAAAAGAAATGAGCTGTTTCTTCTGAAAAACTAAAAGGAAATCTCTCCGTAGATTTACGAAAGCTCATTTATGATCTTTTTTGTCCCTTTAACAAATGTAGGTCCGCAGGTACAGTCACCACAAAACTGCTTTTATGTGACTTGAACATTAAGACAATTATTGTGACTTTAAAATTCACTTTGAATTATTTAGCTTATTGATGGTTTTTGTTTATTATGTTAACATTACAGGAGTACAATACAACTTACCTCACATTCATTATGAGGTGATGGGTGATATAACACTATTCCATCTTTGTCAAATAATGTATCGAGTCACAGACTTACCTTTATCATATTTACCTGTTAAACTGTAACTGTATGAACAAAAACATACAAATTGTGTTAAAGCTTAAACCATTTAATAATGAACGGATAAATGATGGAATAGTATTCAAAATAAGTTGAATGTGTAAATAATGAATGTTTTAACACACTGACACAATGTTACCGATGAACTAACTTAACTCAAACTAATTATGGCAAAAAAGGTCGAAGCTCAGCTGGTGGCAGGAATAAAGGCAGCTATGCGTTAAAAATGGTGATGTTTAAGGGGCCTGGCTTGGTGATGGTACAGCTGCTTTTGGGCGATGTGGTGGTGAAACAGCATCAACTTGGACAAACAATTTCGGGTTCCTGGGACTTTTTTTATGAAGTATTTGTTGGTTTTAGTTCTTTGTTCGCAGGTTATATACTCCGGCATAATTACCTGTGTTGATACTGTTGCAGATATTGTCAGAAAATGATGGGGTAAGATTCAGTCTTCCTGCCAGGAGCAGCAACGAGGACTCAGAGCAACAGGAATCCAACCAATCACAGCTCACAACTCCTGAGAGGTAAAACTACACCCAGTTCAAAGGAAATGTTTAAAGGTGTTGTTGTTTTTTGTTTTAAGCTTTTATATTGTTTTTTCATTACTTAATAGGGTTGTGTATTGTTTAAAAATACCAATATTGGTTCCCCTAAAGTGATAGCTATACCAATAAAGTAATTTGATGGATAACTTTTTTATTTATTGGATTTAAGTGAGCCAATTACACTCCACTTCAAACCAATTGCTGTGATTGGCTGCAAGCAAATACTCGCCAATGTCTTTTCCCAATATCTGCGTACAGAAAATACAGTTCAAAGGAAGAAATGTCAATGCTTGGTACTGGGTCCTTTTTGTCGATACCTTAAAGGTATCAAGTACCGGTGACAAGCCCTGTTACTTAAAATATATATATTTTGCTGTCTGTTCTGCAGGATTTGGTTTCTCAGTAGATTCCTGAAGAAGCGGGCTCCTAAATATCCCTCGGGCAACGACTCAGATATAGGAGGTAAAGTAGTAGCAAAGTGGCGATCTGTAGCTATTTATAAATTGCAGATATCTTTTATGTACACATACAGTTTAATACTTCAAAATAGGCAGCAGAAGGGAGTGTAGAAAGTAATGTGAACAATATTTCTGGTAATGTTCTACTCTTCACTGCCATCTGGAGGTTATGCTGATCAGTAATATGTGTGAAATAAAGAGGCTCTATGTATCCTATCCAGTAGATATAAAGTTTAAACTTGTATTTGTCATGTCAGACTAATAATAACACATCTCCCTCTTCTGACTGCAGTCCCCTTGTCCAGCTACACCCCTCATCCCTACCAAAGGCCAAACCAGAGCAGTGAGAAGATCGCTCGAAACCCGACCATTAAAATCAGCCGGGCCACGCGGGCGCTGCAGTCCAACACCGCTCTGGATCGGGAGATCACCGACCCAAAAGAGCTGCGAAACCTGGATGAATTCCTCGGAAATCAGGTGAGAACGAGACCTGAAGAGGGGAAATCTGAAGCCCAATTATCAGCTTATTCATGTTTTATTTCTAGCACTTGGCAAAACTACTTGCACGGTTTTCATACAAAATTGGTGGGAGGGTGTAACAAGTGCAGAGGAAAACCCAACACAATTTTGGATTGGATCCAAATCACGGCACAGATACACAAATTATTTTTCACTTTCATTAACATAGCGAGACAAATCTAGCCTTGGAAGAGTTCTGTGATCTTTGTGGGCCCTAGTAGTTGTACATAGATAGATTTAATCATCTTTTATCTAGTGCATTTTTTTAGTTGTTCTACAGATGTCTAAGTTTTTGGGGTCAAATTTCTAAGGGACATCTAGAGTTTGGAAAATAACTCTACCCTGGTGAAAGCACATCACTTTACTTTGTTTTGTATAATACCCCTCTCTATCCTTAATCCTGTGTTCCACATGTTCCTTGTCTTTGTCCTCAGGTGAATGAGCTGCAAAGTAGGACAAAAGATCTGTCGCTTACAGAGAGCCTCTTCCTCACAGCCACCATGGAGTTCAGAGAGACCATCAAAGGGATGTACTCTATGCAGGTCAGGCCAGCCTCCCCCTCGGTACAATATAATGTTTCATCTAGCTGTAAGAAAGTAAGGGATAGTATGTTTCTTGATCATTGCAGGAACGTTCGTTATAGTTGTTGACTTAACTTGGTGTTAAAATCGATTGAAATTTATTTAGCTGTTGCTTATTATAAGTCTGCAAACTAAAAACCTTTTGTTATCAACAGAAGCCTCAAATCGGCTACAAATATCTGATGAAGGGCTTCCAAAACAAAGTGAAAACACTAGCAGGGATACAGAAGAAGGAAGAGGCCTCGCTGGTGGTCAACCTGTTTCAGTCTGTGCTGGACGGCTTCATTAGGGGCGAGCTGAAACGAGCGGATTCTGAGCCAGCCAAGGTGAATTAGAGACTTTCAATATCTTAACTACTTTGTGAGTGTAAACCTTCCATTGACCCACTCGTATATCTCAATTCTGGTTTCTCTCAGGCCAACAAGACGGCAAAGAAGAGGAGAAAAAAGGATAAATGTGTAAGTTGAGCATCTAAACCTGCATTGTGATGTTTCTGCATTTATACATCCAGGCAAATTATTGTATGTACTTCCTGTCTTTACAGCCGAAGAGTCCTCTGGATCACTTGTTCAGCACATACCAGGTGAATATCATGCAGTCATGTGACCTGTGTGGCTCCTACATCTGGGGAATGGAGAAAGCCTACATGTGCAGTGGTGAGTTCAAAGACCTGCAGCAACACAAAATGTAACAGCATTTTCTTTGCCAATACGAGAGTAACACAATTAAATCAATTTTTTTCCTTTTTTTAGCTTGCAAGTTAATATGTCACAAGAAATGTCTGGATAAAATCATCACAGATTGCTCGACACGATGTGCTAGGCAGGTAGGAACTGACATGTTTCAATACTACTACCATTATGTCTAAATAACTCACATTGATTGCTCAAACTCTGCCCATAACTCCCTGCAAATGAACACCCCTCTTGTCTTGTCTTGTGATAGGATGACAGCGTGCCAGGCTCCCTTCACTTTGGGGTGCAGGTGTGTGTCCTCACCAATAAAACTAACCCTGTGCCCAAAGTGGTGGAGTTGCTTCTGATGCACATTGAGCTGAACGGCCTCTACACCGAGGGCATTTACCGCAAGTCGGGCTCTGCATGCCGAGCGAGGGAGCTCCACCAGATTTTAGAGACTGGTAATACATTCTTTACACACCAGCTGAAACTCTTTACTTCAGTTTTGGAGATCCACTTTACATGAGGTTACTGGTGTTATTAATCTGCATAGTTGGTGTGCAGCGGCAATAGCCATAAACTATGAAGGCAAATAAATAATTGCAGTTGGAGAGATGTTCTCTATCTGCCATAGAGACACTTAACATGATTTTATATGATATGTATTTGATTTTATTTTCTATAATATCTCAATTATCTTATTGTCTGTCTTTCTTCGTCTTATCTTCTCTGTTAAATTGCATTTTGTGCTCATGTTCAAATCAAGAATAATTATAGCTTAGAACCTATGATAGCTGGGTTTTTAAAAATATTTGGAAAATGATAATGTCGCCCTTGTAACGACCTTAAAAGTTATATTAGGTTTTTTAGCACTTTAAAGACTAAATCAAGTTTTGATCGATTTAAAAGGGAATATATTAAAAAAGAAAAGATGAACTTTAAGTACTGTACTTCTAAAAATGTGATGGTAGAATCACTATTAAATGTTTTGGTGTGTTTCACCTGTGTGCTTTGTCTGGTTTCAGATCCGGAGGGGCCAAATTTAGACAACTACCCGATCCACACCATCACAGGTCTACTGAAACGTTGGCTCAGAGAGCTGCCGGACCCCCTCATGACCTTTTCCCTCTACAACGACTTTCTGCATGCCGTGGGTGAGTGAATATTTAAATGATACAAAACAGCCTAAAAAAAAACTGTTTTTGTATAATGAAACTGAAACTGAAATAAAACTAAGTTGAAAACAAAAACAAACTGTACATACATCGGTAAGTCCGCAACTAGTGCCTTCTTTTAACTTTTCCTTTAAAAAATTGCCTTAACAATTGATTAATTAACAAAGTCAATTCTTTCAATTCATCGATACATGAGAAGTAGTTCAGCTCTGCTTGTGATTATCTTGATGTAAATGATTGTAAATCCTTGTTTGGGACCTTGACTCTGGTAGATTTTTGAATGTTATTGATATCCATGTTTTTTTGCCCTCAGAGCTGCCGGAGAAAGCTGAGAGAATAAGGGCTGTTTACCAAAAGATTGATGAACTTCCTCCTGCTAACTACAACACGTTAGAGCGGCTCATCTTTCACCTTGTCAGGTAGGACAAACTCTACATAAGGTACATTACAGTTTCCTCACTTGATTCATTCATCCTGCCACATTTATACATTTGTTTTACTATGGAATGTGCTATAGTAAAACAAAAATAAATAAACAAGACAGAAAACTATATCTCAAAAAGACAAGAATTGTGTTAATATACATTTAAAAAAATGGTTCATTCATTGTTTTAATAATACAATATGAGTTGATGATATGTTTATGTGTAGTAATGACACGAGTGAGACCTTTTATCTGTGTGTCTTTTTAGGGTTGCGAAAGAGGAAGAAAATAAGATGTCAACAAGCTCTCTTGCTATTGTGTTTGCTCCCTGCATCCTGCGCTCACCTGATGTTGACGACCCATTTCTGGCTATGAAGGATGTGGCCAAGACTACAACGTGAGTCATTCTGCACACTCCCATATTAATTGTTTTATGTATCTTTTCAAAATATCGGGTGTGCTTTTGTTGCATTAGCTTTACTGCATGTATTTCTAGAGATGAACGTTGTTTACATGGAGGACTTCTTCTCTCTGACCTTGTTTCCTGCAGGTGTGTGGAGATCCTGATCTCGGAGCAGCTCAGACGATACAATGAGAAGATGCAGAATATCCAGCAGCTGGAATACGCAGAGGCAGTGGCTGTCAATCAGCTCAAACTGAGGAGACAAAACACGGTGAGAGAAAACTAAAGACCAAAGGAAGATGCATCATGAAACATGTGGTCTCTCAGAAAGTCAATTCAATCTAGTTAGTTGTCAGTCCAGCTATTATATTTAAAAGTTGCATCAAGACAGCACAGACCATGCCACAGGAAAAGTTATACCAACTCAAACAAAAACATTGAAATTGCATCTACCAGTACTTATTATTAAATTAGTATTAAAGGTGGGGTAGGTCGTTTTGGAGAAACCAGCTCGAGTGCGCTAGAATTTGAAAATACACAGCCGGAAGAAATCTGCCACTTCCTTACAGAGCCCCTCCTCTAAGACACACGAACGCGCACATGACCAATGAGGGCACGAGATAAGTTTGTGCACAGATGGAAGGCTGACAGGCAGGTAGGCCATCCAGTTACTTTAGCCGGGCCGGCTCAGATGATTGGTCGTGCTTTTTACAGAACTACGGCTTCCACAGATGACATTTTTTAATGGATTTATTGTCAAAGCACTTCAGATATTCATTGCTATCGGGATGTTAAGAGCATTCCATGGAATATAACAAAAATTGTTTCTCGAGCCGGTTTCTCAAACTTACCTACCCCACCTTTAATTAAAGGTAACATTAAACAAATGAACTTCTTCCTTTATATTGATTTTGTTCCACACACCACTGTCACCTAAGTTTGATTCATATCAAATTTAAACAAAGGGCAGCTAAAAATTACTCTTAAACTAAACTTTGAATAAATTATCTCGATCTATAAACGTGCACCCATCTTACTCCAGCTCCTCTGATCTTTGTTCAGGTTGTTGAAAAGCCTCCACAGCTGGATGTTCCCGATCATAGGCCTTCGGATGAAACGGAGAGGACCCTCATTGATAGGATCAAGTCCATCAAACAAGAAAAGTGAGCTTTACTTTTTTTCATTGAGTTGAATGCTTTGTGTGCAATGCATTTCATTAATAATGATGTATTGTTTTGTTGTCTTCAGGGTGGACTTGGCTTGCAGGTTACCTGACCTTGAGCAGGATAACTCTGACGACAACATGGACTCATCATCTTCATCAATGAGCTCAGAGAGTCTAGAGGACCGTCTGGGCAGCCTAGACTCGGAAGGTCAGTAGGGAGGTACGGTACTTTCACCTTCTTCTGGGTTTAAGGAGACAATTTCATAAACGTCATATTAAATAAAAGCGTTTGTGTATCTCCCCACAATGATACATGGTATAATAGATAATGTCCTCATGACAGTGTTCTGCCTGTGTATAAAGGGTGAGGTATTCTTAAATAGAACATATTCATCATGGCAGCAACAGTTGTATATTAAATCACAACAATTATTAGGTAACAATAGAAATATACTGTTCAAGTATTCTTCCAGGAATGTGTGCTTACACTTAGTTGATTGGCCATCACAGTATCTTTGTAGATGGCATTGAGTGGTGGTCTATCATAGGTCGAGCCAGGTTAAAGTTTTGTGATCCTGTGTTTTATTTTCGCGGTGCAATGTTGGAATCCCTGCTGCACCACCTAAGGGCATGCAATATTGATATACTTTAACTTGTAATTGCAATAAAAACATTTCCTTTGTTTTCTCTATGAGATTCAATATATATTGTTGAATGGATATACAAAAACATACAGGTAAAGATCCTTATTATCCTTTATAAATATCCTCATTAATTTGGTCAAGTTGATTTTAATGCTCAGCCCTAATGTGCATTTGTTTTGTTTTGAACGTGGCATTACATTTTCTCTATCTACGTCTTTTAAAAAATTAAATTAAACTTTCCATATGTTTTTTTTAAATTGTGCAGCAACTCTAGCAAACTACTATAGCTTCATATCCTCTGTAACCACACAGATCATTCGCCGTTTTTGACTGGTTCCATATACATCAAGTCTCTTATGTTTATTGTTAATTTAATATTAAAGTACTAAACAAGTTTGCTCATCTGTTTCTATAACCAGCCAAGGTGACCATGCGATCAAAAACCCAGAAACCCAACTGCCCGCCTAAACCTGCTGACCTGGCGCAGAGAGTGAGAAGTCTGATGGCTCAGACAGGTAATGCGTGGGGAGGGTTCACACCAGGAAAAAAGACAGATGTTACAAAATCCATGTGCTTCCTGCCCAGCCCAGATAGCCCCTCCCCCGACGACAAGCCGCAAATCATTAGCAAGTCTTTCAAAGGGAGCTATGACGACCTGGACATCCCTTACATCGACGATGATGAAGAAGATCCCACCTGTGAATAACACCACAAGTTAACATAATAAGAATATGCTCCAGGTGTGTTAATAGAAGACTGGATTTTTCTTGGAAAAAAAAAAACTGTGCACTTTGTTTTATAGACTTTTCCATGTGTCAATGCTGCTATGGAAACAAAGTGCCTTGAGAATTTAAATGTATTTAATGCGAGATGTACGGAATGTCTGGAGAAGATCCAATTGCAATGAGGACTTGGCCTCTTTATATACAATACACTGTGTGTGATTTTAAACATATCTCAGAATTGTACAGTTTTACATTTAATATAAAAAGGTAAGTACTTATGTAACAATGTGAGACCAGCTAGGGATCAGGAGCATTTGAGAACACAAGGTTCTCCTTTACTAATGGACATTATTTTGAGCTCATCCACTGTTGCAAATAATAGGACGTTATGGTGTTTGTGGGTAGAAAAGTGTACCAAAAATGTGCATAGGAGAATCAGAGTGGTTCTCTATTGTACAGACACAGAACCATTGCATTTTGGGCTCGCTCTTAATGCATGGTCGTGCATATGAAATGTTTCAGTTGTGTTTTTCTGCTTTTAATATTCCTGTGGTATCGACTGCTGCGACTGACTCATTCAATACACTTGTAAGGCAAATGGCCATATTCCTGCCTTTAAGACTGACTGAAAAATACTAACCTGTCACTGTGCAGTTTCACCAAGTAAACATTTTGTCAATACATATAGGTTTTTTAAATAAATATGCATGCCTGTACATTTATAAGGGGTTAGGAATCATTCGTATTTGGGTGAGCATCCTCAGAAATCGTCTTTTGCCACATGAATAAACTGACCTTTTTCAAATGTCTACTGCTGTAAAACCAATCATTTCAACCAATACTGCAGCTTTGACAATGACATGTCTATTAAGAACATATTGCATATTGTAAAAAAGTACATGAAATGTTTACCATTTTAATAAGTGTTCATGTGAGGAAAGTTTTTCATTGTGTCAATGAGATCATGATTAAAAATGACACCTATTGCAGACCATTCTCGGCCAAATTTAGATTTCTAGCAGACCCGGCTGCTCTTGATAAATGTTTCTAGACCTGAATGTTGTTTAAATATAGGGGCTTTGTGATAATAAGACGCTGGTGGTAAGGTAAGTAACATACAAGTATATTTATGAATGTCTTTCTATGTCTAAACAAAGACTTAAAGACACATTTGAAAATGAGTGTAAGAAAGGAGGAACTGAAGGATGTGGATGTAGCTGAACATCTTGTACACTTTCCTTATAAACACAACCACTCATAAGGGAGTTCCTCTTTCTACACAGAACCGCGGTGTGGCGTTCACCAATCACCATTTGAGGATCAATAGCACAAACGTTGTTCTCAACCAATCAGACGAACTGGTTGAACTGGTCGTTTATCAGACAGCTAATCGCTGAGCGGTGTTGCCCTGGAAGGGCGGGTCAACATTTAGTACAGGAAGAGAGGTTGAAGTGAGGTGGAGGAATCATCAGTTAGCTCACTGCTAGCTGTCTCCTGGAGCCAACCGCCGATGTGTTATGAGCTTTGTAGCCGAAATCAGTATATTATTTTAGTTTCGATAGTTGCAACGATGACACTCTGACACCAAGAATGGACATAAGTTAACAATGACGGGGGAGAAAAAGAAGAAAAAGCGGGTGAACCGCAGCATTCTTCTTGCAAAGAAAATTATAATAAAAGATGGAGGAAGTGTGAGTTAAATATTTATTTATCTTCGTTGAACCAGTTTGCCACGGAGCTAATCTTACTATTGTCCTATGAATAAGTTAGTAGCCCATGTTTATATCAAGAAAAACAGTGGTGCGGCTTTTGTTTACGGCTTTGTGTCTTTGGTGGTTTGTCCCAGCGGATAATGTTAACCGTTAGCTGGGTCCGCCTAGCTAACGCAGCTAGCTGTGTGCTACCATTGGCTAATGTAAGCGGCCTTCGTTTACACGTCAGCTCAGGTAACGCAGGCTAGCTCATATTAACGTTAGCTGTTTTTCTTGAGGTTTTCACAGTAATTCTGCTGCCCAAAGTATATTTGATACCTTACTTTAAACTATCTATTTAATGCTTAACGGTTTCTCTCATTTGTTCAAATATTGTGGAATTATGCGTGACAGTGCATCACTAAACTGGGGCTAGGTTAAAATTAGCTCACTAGCATATGTGTGTATTATGTGGGGTGTTTTTGTCCTGTTGTAAACAACGGTTAATTAAATAAAGGGTTTAAAATACTTAATGTATTACCTAGCAAATGGTTTAAGAAACAAAGTAAGCTAACTTGTTGGATATCTTTAGGTTTGTTCGTTTACGAAGGCTAGATAGGGTTGGTAGTGTTTGTTTAAAAACAAGCAAACATACCGTTTAAGTCAACATACCAGGAAAGCAAATATACTAATTGCCACTGTATTAACAGCTGTGCAACGCAACTAAGCTTATAACCATATAGGGTTTAGAATCGGGTGCCAATGATCTTTAAACATCATTTAAAGATATTTGTCTATGACACATTTATACCCTATTGTCTGGGTTATTGACACCTGTATTCAAGGTCGGAACAAGTCCTACTATAGTGACCTGTGATAAGATGCCCTTACCTGGGAGCATCAAACCTCTTTAATAGACATACCAAAATAAAAGCAATTTAGGATCAGTGAACCAATACTAGGTGGTGGAGTGATGATTGTCCCAAATGAGACAGTTGGCAAAGAAAAGTGAGTATGATAGAATTGTTATAAAGAAAACAGTGAGGCATCAGTGCTGGTTATATAATCAGATGAAAACCTGTGCCAAACAAGCTGGGTGTCCAAATGAAGACACACAGACTTGTAATTGTAATTAAGAGAACAAAAACGGTTGTTTTTCCCTTTTTGTAATGGGCCTGTATTCATGATGACAACCTTCTGTCTGAACACCTGACATGATGTGGCGCTGTTCCAATTAGGTCTTCAGTTTAAATTACAGTTATTTCTTTACTCCTGCAGCAAAGTCTGTCCACTCAGCTGTTAATATTTCACTTTCAGCAACCAATCTAATATGGCTTAGTTGCATTGGTGTCAATAGCAAAATGTGATCTCTAAAGATGCAGCCTGGCTGGGATTTCAGTTGCAACATCCATAATATGGATGTTGCAACTGAAATCATTATAATACAACAGTTTCAGGTTAGCAAGTGTTGTTAAATAAAAAGCCGGGGTTCTTTCTAATTTACTGCTAGTCCAGCAGTCAAACTCTGTAGGCGTTTACTTCTCGATACTTTTACTCTCCCCACATAGGGAAATGGCAAACCACATGAGCGAGTAAACTAGCAACTAGAGTCTTTGTAAAGTTGGACCTGGCCTACTTTGACTGTCACAAAATGATCACACCTCGCTTTGTTTCCTGCCAAAGATCCTGCTTCCACGCTCACTTTTCACCGCACTTTGTCTTCCCCTCACAGACTTGTATAGATTTTACTGTGCCGTGGTGAAGTGTCTACTTCACTAATCACTAGGTATTGCATTTGAATGAAAGTTAAAAGAATGTGTTTTTGCTCATTAAATAGATATGTTTGTATTAGGAGTTACCGAGTAAACAAAAGCACATAATAGTTTACTTGTTGGATTAAATACTTTGCTTTGTACCTGTGACATTTTCTTTGAATGCTGAAGGGTTAAACATTTATTTGAATGAATATTGTTGTGTTTGCCAGTAAACATGCTATTCAATCTGATGCCACTTTAACCTATACAGTATACATGTAATCTAATTTTACTCAATAAAATTCAATTGTCATCATAGTCTCAATTATAGTAAGGCAATTTATCTAAAATTACACGTCATGTAAATGGTTGAGCCCAATGTCTTACATTAATTTAGTTTACAGTATGTATGACTTAATTAATTGAGCCACAGTGATCGAATGCTTTTGAATTAATCTTGCCATGAAATAGTGAAATGAAGAAAATTAAGATTTGTGTTTAAATTGACAAATAAAACAACTCGCAGTAATTGTGATATGATGTGGTGGCTTCTTTAAGTTAAGATTCAGCAGTTTATTGACGAAGTCAAAACTTCCTCTGTGTACACATCCTCCAGTTTCAGAGTGAAAAAATATTTCTCATAATCGTACTCACTATTTCCTAACTGTGGGCAGTCCTACAGATCGGCTGATGCAGAGTATTGTGTCATCAGATGGATGTTGCTTTGAAATGGATTCCAGTTTAAAGTTTGATATGTTAATGTGTACAGGCAATTTGATGCTTTTAAAAATGTTTGTTGCTTCTCGGCTAATGATCTTTCTAATTGTATGCGCCTCTCTGTCTCCATCCAGCCTCAGGGAATCGGTGAGCCGAGTGTTTACCATGCTGTGGTGGTCATCTTCCTGGAGTTTTTTGCATGGGGTCTTCTTACCACCCCAATGCTCACGGTAAGCCTGGACACAATGCACTTTAACATGGAGGCAATGTTATGTAAACTGACATAACTTTCAGTAATAAATTCATACGCCTACACCTCTCCTCTCTAGAAACTTAGCCAGAGAGTTTTCCATTGACTGGAATCACACCAGGCCCATCAGTGTCTATGAATGATTGAACTCCTAATCCAATGAGCCTTGTGTGACGCAGTTTTGTTTTTTGTGCGTGTCTGTTAGCAGATGTTTATTCAAGCACTACTGGACTGAGAAATATGAAAAGGGCATCAAACAGTTGTATTGTCTGAGCACCAGTTCTTTGTTGAAAAGGCTTATCAGGGGGTCACTGGTTTGTGTTGTCAGGCCACAGCAGTGATACCGACAAGCACGCCACACACTCACTGTGCTCTGCGAGTGGTGGGGTGTACGTATTTGCTACAGGCAACTCAAACAGCATTATTTAAATTACTTGTATTCTTAAATGTCACCTGTCTTTCTGAAAAATGTTGGCACCAAAAGATCAACCAATTTTTGAAAAACAAGGATTATTATTTCCTTAAAAACTGATCTTAATTGTAAGCTAAGAGCTAAGGTGACTGATAGTGACGACATGCTTTATTTCAAACTAGCAGGGGATCGTGTATTAATAGTTTTTCTATTTCAGGCACCATATTTTTTCATTTTTCACCCAAGCTCGATATTTATTAAATCCTGTCAAGGCTTTCTTAGCCTAAATATTTGTTTTCTACCAAAATAAATTACCATTGTTTGAAACTAGTATCCCAAACAAATGGTGGCAGACATCTGTTTGCCAGATGATGTTAACCAGACAGGCTTTTGCAGTGCAGACTGTTGTTTGAAGAGGTGGTTATATGTGTAACTGTTAAGCATTAATTACTGGGGGTTTGTTGCCCTCAAGATCCCTGGGTGGAGGGAGGATTTGCATTTTGGACTAATCAGAGGGTGCCTGAAGATGAGAGGGTCTGCTTCACTGCTCCCAATGAGCGCACTGCTTCATTAGCATCCAGCAGCAACAGCCGTCACTGAGCCTTCACAGCCAGTGTGTGTTGGGTAGCTGACTCCCAGAGGAACAGAGGAGATTCTTAGCCATGCCACAAGCTTCTTCACATGTTCTCATTTAAACCGAGGCTCCATGTTCCCACAGCAGTGTCAATGACACTTGTGCTCTATGCTTGCTGCACACAGACATATGGACTTTGAACTGAACAACATATCAATGATTTTTTTACCATCTAAACACGTCTTTCTCTTCTGTATTCAAACTATGATACAGTATTGGAGGAACAGAGTTTCTGATTTATTTTTTCCTGAAATACTTGAGGATTATTTTTATTTGCGGGAAAGCACAGTAAACCAAGCATGCTCAAAAATATAACCGTTCTCCATTTTTCAAACTTGCAAGTGAAGCAATTACTTAATTTCTTTAATCTGACTTTAAATCTCGGTAAGTTGTTTTTTTCTCAGAATATGACCTCCCTCCCCAACTCCATACTTAAACATTTTTGAGAATATTAAAAACATTTTCCAACAATTCAGACAAAAGGATTGTGCAGACTTGAAAAGGTATTTACTCTCGGAGTACCTCACACAGAGCAGTTTGTCATCTGGACACCAACAAACGGGTGTCACTGTAAGTCAAATGTTCTAAGATGATCTGATACCACGAGAACAAAGAGGAAGGTTATTTTGCACATCATTTTTATTAACCATATTACTCAGCTCCTCAGTTTATGGCCCGACTGTCCTTTATATCAAGATGAATACGCTCTGTAGTGTCCGTGGCCACGCTTGGATTGTCGTACGTACTAAAAGTATTAATGTTCTTCTCAGAGGGAACAGCAGTTTGAAACGGGCAAGACCACTGAATTATGGTCCTTGCTGAACTGCATTGCTGCATGTAGCCTTTCACCCCTGGGTGCAATTAGTATAGTGTGAATTTAGTTTTTTGTATAAGTGTAAATTGCTTTGCACAGGACGTTTCACAGGTCTTGAGCCTACCAACCAAAGACAGAAAATAATATGCAAAATGAAAATGTTTCTTTTGGTTTTAAATTTGCTAAATTCACTTGGTGGGGCCTGATATATTTTATTTTATAGTTTTAAAGGCTTTTTATATAAAGGAAACAAAAGAGAATGTATTAAATGTTCAGTAAATACACAATTGTTTTATATGCTTTGAACAGTTTAAGTTGATCTGCATGTCAGTGTTTGTTTTGCTTATTATATGGTTTCCCAATGAATAAATCATGTTTTAAAGGTTTTATTTGATGACAGAATAAAACCAACTCAACCAGTTTAAGGATTATGTGTGTCATGTCCCTGTGGAACGTTTCAGAAAACACATCAAATATACGATATGTATGTTCCATCTAGGCCTGTATAATAATGGAAAATATGATTCCTTTTACAGTTTTTGTTGCAGCGTCTACTTTAATGCCCTCGGCCTCAATGAGTGAATTAATGGTCCATCGCTTTTGTTTGATTTTCACACTTTTTATGCTTACTAGTTAACTCTACAAAGTACAAAATCCCTTGTTTAAAATGTGATGCAGACTGTTTGCATCAATTGGTTTCATGTTGCGTTATCTGTGTTTTGGTTTTCAGGTATTACACCAGACATTCCCACAACACACATTCCTGATGAATGGGCTCATCCATGGTGTCAAGGTAAGACAACAGCACACACAAACACAATATTCCGTGGTGACAAACCATGATGCAAAAACACATTCCTGTGTGCATGTTGGCAACTTACTACTACTATTACAACATCCTAATACCAAGCTGTATCCTTGTGCTATGACTACATTTGTGTTCACTGTGGGGTTTTTCAGTTAATAATTAATAGCATCATTCTGGCCTTCTCTAAACCTCTTGACAGTTTGTACTACTGCTCTTGCTGTTAAATAACATTCTTCTTCAGCGTGTTGATCTTGCTTTTATTTGCCCTTGGATGATTAGCTGAGCGTGTGTGCTCTTGTTCGGCGACACCCTGCTCGACAACAAACGCAGTTACATGTTAACACCTGCGAGCTGTCCAGTAACGGCAGCCGCTCCCCAGCTGGAGACCGAGCAGCAAACGAGAGCACACACAGCGATGGGCCCCGAGTGAACCTTAATGATCTTTATTTAGGGAGCGTGTGTCCAAACATAGTTGGAGAGTACACGCTTGTAATTTATTTCTGGGCTTTTTTCTTGTGATCACATGGATGAAATAAAGAGATTCTCTGAGGAAGAAACACTGTGAACAAGCAGAATTAAGAGGACACATATATTAGTGACCAAAACATAACTATAATGGCAATCTGTTGTCCGTCCATATATCAATGTATCCGATTTCTTATTGCAGACTACTAACTACAATTTCTTGGTGACACAAAATATCAAAGTCCACATAAAAGGCTCTTTATTTGTCCAACAGGAGACACTGGTAGCTTCAATGTCAGTGAAGGACAAACTGCAGCTAGAGCTTCACATGTGTCGCTGATGTTGATTTTCCGCTCGAGCTAGCCACAAGATCTAGGTTATAGATATGTTTTGTTACATTGCGCTGAGTATGTTCATGAACTCGAATCAGCGTCCCTGTTAGTCTACAAGTGGTAGCTTTACTCAAGTTATCCATTAACAGCACTTTTCTGATACATTTACCTCCCTCTCTCCCCCCCGTGTCCTCCCCCATCCTCCTCTCTCCATCCTCTGCAGGGTCTATTATCATTTCTGAGTGCGCCACTGATCGGAGCGCTTTCAGACGTATGGGGACGCAAATCCTTCTTGCTGCTAACGGTGTTCTTCACGTGTGCACCCATTCCACTGATGAAGATCAGCCCATGGTGAGTGCAAAACGCAGACCACTCTAACAGTGAATACATTAAAGCTCCAAAGATTATTCATTAACTATAAGGTTGCATTGTATCATTTGTGTTTGTTTCTATATTGATAATGGAATCTCCTTTCCTCTTTCAGGTGGTACTTTGCAGTCATCTCCATGTCCGGAGTGTTCGCAGTCACCTTCTCTGTGATCTTTGCCTACGTGGCCGATATCACGCAGGAGCATGAGAGGAGCACAGCATACGGTTTGGTAAGGAGAACAAAATAGGGTCCGTTTCAAATTGTTATATAAAGTAGTATTTATGACTGTACCTCAAGATTGCTGAAGACAAAAATAGTTATTTTGATTAGGCCCTTAATCTCATAAATTATTACCGGATGTATTATTCAACAAACATTTCCATGAACTGAGAAATCAAGATTTTAATGACTTTACCTAAAGCTTAAAATGATTATGAAATGGAAATATCTGATCACTTATTTCATTCACTGGAGTAATATGCAGCTGAATAACAACGCTGGATGACGCATGGGGTAAAGTACGTCACCCTAACAGCAGCTGTGCATACTTTAGACCGGCGCGTGAAGAAACGTTAAGAAGCTCAAAATAATTGACAACGCTCTCTAGAATTCTATATTCCTGCATATAAATACTGCTGTTATAAACCATTTCCAATTTGCAGAGCTTATAGAGCACCACATTGTAGGGCTGCTCGATTACGGCAAAAATCATAATCTCGATTATTTGGGTCAATAATTGTAATTGCGATTATTAAATGCGATTATTCATTGACTTTGAAAACATCCATTTATTGGAGAAAAATTTGAACAGTATGTTTTTAACAGTTGATTACCTGAAATTTAAGTATAATTCAACAGAAAAACCAAAAAAATAAATAATGATATATTAAAAAAAAAGTAATAATAAAAAGATAATCGCTGCAAGCCATAATCGTAATCGCGATTAAAATACGATTAATTGAGGAGCCCTACCACATTATTGGGTCTGTGTGAAAATACTTCATCATACTGGAGAGGAAAACCATCCTTTGACTGGGCACAGCCATCATACTTACATACAGATGAAAACTATCCAAATCGACGTAAACATCTCAGAAATGATTAGGAGGCAGTTATCATGACAGAATCATGCCCGTGTCTGTTTTGAGTCCTTAAGCCAAGAGTCCTCAAAGACAACAGCCTGTCAAGACGAATCCATCACTTCCTGTTTGTCTCACCGTGAGCTCCCCCCCCCTCCCCCTCCAGGTTTCGGCTACCTTGCAGCCTCCCTGGTCACCAGCCCGGCCATCGGAGCCTACCTGTCCGTTAAATACGGCGACACCTTGGTGGTGATCCTGGCCACGGCCGTCGCTCTGCTCGATATCTGCTTCATCCTGGTGGCCGTGCCGGAGTCTCTGCCGGAGAAGATGAGGCCAGCATCGTGGGGGGCGCCCATCTCCTGGGAGCAGGCAGACCCCTTCGCTGTGAGTACATGTACATGGCCCATTGTAACACATGGGTTAATCAAAAATAAAGGACCAGCAGTTTATTGCAGTTTGTTTTATCAGCTCTTAGTATTTCTTGGAATAAAGTGGGATAATAATGTATGGTTAATTTATTCAATGGAAGCTTACTTACATCATTAATGTTATTAGTTGTAGCAAATCATGCTGGGAACAAACTCTTGCAGAAACACAATTATTTTAATGAGAAAAAAAGAACAATTATTTTATTCAATCATTCATTCCTGCATAGCAACACAAAGATGCATAACCAGATTGCTTTTTGTAATGAATACATTTGACTAATGCTGTAGCTTTAGGGATGAGTTATTATTTTATAATTTGGGTTTGTTGCTGCCTAAATGTATATTTTGATGAAGAAAACCAGATTAAGGGGCTTCTGGATTATACATGTGTTATACAGGAAAGGGTTGAAATGAAAGGTATCCATGGGGTGTTCAGTTTCTCTTTTTAAAATAGGAGTTTCACAGAATATGAAACCCATGTTGATTGCTTTGGTAGTTCTACCTGTGATACTGGCCATTCAAATATATGTTATAATCCAATGTAAGTGCTTGGGGACAGATTCCACAGTCCTTGCACTAACATTGCTCATGTTTGAAATGAAGCCTAATCCTTCGTGCTGTTCTCTTGCTCAGTCTCTGCGTAAGGTGGGCCAGGACCCCACAGTGCTCCTCATCTGTATCACAGTGTTTCTCTCCTACCTCCCTGAGGCCGGCCAGTACTCCAGCTTCTTCCTCTATCTCAGACAGGTAACACACTGCTCTCCCTGCTTACCTTTTTTGTAGAAAAAACCATATTGTAAAATGAATTACCGTAATTTTCGGACTATAAGGCGCACCTGAATATAAGCCGCAGCAGCTAAATTGAATGATGTGTACATATATAAGCCGCACTGGAATATAAGCCGCAGGTGTTTTAATGTTTAATTACCATATGTAAGGGTTCGTGCTCAGAGGGGATTGTCGGGAAAGAGATGGCTGTTTGAGGAAACTCCCATTTATTAACATTTCAACAAACCAGTTGCATATTTGCATAACGTATTCAAGTGTTAGCATTTAGTGCAATAGTAGCTACAGAACATGTACTGTGCTGTGTAAACTGTACTGTATCACATAGCGTTTCAGACACACAAACTTTTCAACTTTCAAACTTAAACGGTGCGCTCCCAGCGCACGTACCGGCAGTGATCTACAGCAGTGGTTTTCAACCAGTGGTACGGGGACACACTGTCTCGCTCTCGTAATGTCTGTCTGTCTTGCTCTCGTTCTGTCTCTCGTACCACTCTCGGTTCCACTTTTACTTTTGCACGCTACCTGTCTCACTCTTTTCCGGCCTCCAGCTTTTCCTGCTGGAGCCCGCTGCAGCCCGCCGCTTAAAGGTGGGGGGCGCGGACCGGCCAGAGAGCCCATAGAGTTAAAGGTGGTGGACTGTAACCTGTAAAATCCATAGATTTAGGAGGTCCCCTAGTGGCCGTTAGCTGTAGAAATCCATAGATTAGCCGCACCGTTATATAAGCCGCAGCGTCGAAAAATGGGAAAAAAGGCGCGGCTTATAGTCCAAAAATTACGGTAGATATTCAAAAGAAATTATCACCTGTTTAACGTCTTCACACTTGCCTT